GTCATCACTGCCTTATCAGACCGCTGCAACAAAAACCTCTAAGGCTATTCTTAATCTTTCCTCAGCTATTGTCAAACTTTTTGTTCTGTCTGCTCAATAAAGCTCTCTGACTTTTTGATGTGGAGGGCAGCAGTAAGAACCCAACTCAGGATTGGACACTGAATCAGACACAGCTGGGAATGGCAGAGCTGGTCACTCAGGAACAGGTGTTAATAGTAGTCACTGATTCTATAGTCCAGTAATGCCCAGAAAGTAGGAGCAAGCCAGAAAGTTTCTAGTGGAAATGGTCTAGATGTATTTTATGCTTAGTCACAAAGGGTGCCTTTCTTTTCTGTTGTGATTTGGGGCGCCAGAGAAACGTCCCTCCCCAGTATATCTCCTTGAGTTCTTAAAATGCTGAAATTCCTAATTCTCTTTAAAATTCCTTTCATTTCCAGCTCCTCTTCGAGGGTCCCCTTGCTCTTTTATGGATACCCTGCTCCTGATGTCTTGCTTCTATGAATGAGCACTTGGAGACAGAAGAGAGAGAAATCTGAGAGGCAGGGGCTTGGTGGGGAGGCTGGCTGCTTAAGTGTGGAGGATAAAGGAGTAAAGAAAGAAGTGTCATTTCTTTTATAGTTTTGCCTAAGCCTGACAGGAAAAGCTTGAAGACATTTCTACCATTGAACCATCACCAGTCAAAAACTTGACCCAGAATATCACTAATGCCATACCTGTGGTAGTTGCTGATTTTTCTTTATCTTTTTATTCCTGATGTTAAAAATTAGAAAAAATTCTGTTATAGGCTACTTGATTGCCCACGGTTCAGAAGTCCAGCTTCATCAGGCCTTACTGGACTTGTTTTTTTTTTTTTTTTTTAATATCTTCTGAACCTTATTTTTCTGATTCTCCTGCATATTCTATATTTTAGCCAGATTGAGCTATAAACAGGTCCCCATAACCTTTCCATGTTTTCCTGTCCTTGTGCTTTAACTTAAGCATTCATTGTCTTTATTTGAAAAGCCCTTCTCAGGTTGTGAATCATACTTCCAACCCATACGTTACCTCAAGCCTACTTTGAATGCACTGTCTGCATCATTTCAATTTTCTTTTCTTCCTTTTGTGCTTGAGGAATTCTTTCTAGAGCTCCATGTGAAAAACAATGTACTGTATCACTTTGTCAGTTTGAGGATTGCATTAAGGAGATAAATATCTCTAAAACTCAGAAATTCTTTGACTTGGTTTGAAGCTGCTCTAGTCAGCTGACCTTTCCAGGCATTAGGGCCAGTAGGACTCAATAACTTCAGTGGAGCTAGAACGATTTGTTTGTTTATTTATTTATTTATTTACATCCAAGTTAGTTAGCATATAGTGCAACAGTGAATTCAGGAGTAGATTCCTTAATGCCCCTTACCCATTTAGCCCATCCTCTCTCCCACAATTCCTCCAGCAACTCTCTGCTTATTCTTTATGTTTAACGGTCTCTTATGTTATGTCCCCCTCCCTGTTTTTATATTATTTCTGCGTCCCTTCCCTTATGTTCATCTGTTTTTATCTTAAATTCTTTATATGAGTGAAGTATGATATTTGTCTTTCCCTGACTAATTTCACTTAGCTTAATAACTTCTAGTCCTATCTATAGTTGCAGATGGCAAGATTTCATTTTTTTTTATTGCCGAGTAATACTCCATTGTATACCATATCTTCTTTAACCATTCATTCATTGATGGACATTTGGGCTCTTTACATACTTTGGCTATTGTTGATAGTGCTCCTATAAACATTGGGGTGCATGTGCTCCTTTGAAACAGCACACCTGTATCCCTTGGGTAACCTAGTAATGCAGTTGTGGGTCTTAGGTAGTTCTATTTTTAATTTTTTGAGGACCCTCCATACTGTTTTCCAGGGTAGCTGCACCAGTTTGCATTCCTACCAGTAGTGCAAAAGAGATCCTCTGTCTCTTCATCCTTGCCAATGTCTGTTGCTTGAGTTATTAATGTTAGCCATTCTGGCAGGTGTGAGGTGGTGTCTCATTGTGGTTTTGATTTGTATTTCCCTGATGGTGAGTAATGTTGAGCATTTTTTCATGTGTCAATTGGCCATCTGGATGTCTTCTTTGGAGAAGTGCCTATTCATGTCTTTTGCCCATTTCTTCAATGGATTATTTGGTTTTTGGGTGTTGAGTTTGATAAGTTCTTTATAGATTTTGGATACTAGCCCTTTATCTGATATGTTGCTTGCAAATATCTTCTCCCATTCCATTGGTTGCCTTTTAGTTTTGCTGATTGTTTCCTTTGCTGTGCAGAAGAATTTAATTTTGATGAGGTAGTTCATTTTTGCTTTTGTTTCCCTTGCCTCTGGAGACGTGTTGAGTAAGAAGTTGCTGCAGCTGAGGTCAAAGAGGTTTTTGCCTGCTTTTTCCTCGAGGATTTGGATGGCTTCCTATCTTACGTTTAGGTCTTTCATCCATTTTGAGTTTATTTTTGTGTATGGTGTAAGGAAGTGGTCCAGGTTCATTTTTCTGTATGTTGGTGCTATCCAGTTTTCCCAGCACCATTTGCTGAAGAGACTGTCTTTACTCCATTGGATATTCTTTCCTGCTTTGTGAAACATTAGTTGGCCATATGTTTGCGGGTCCATTCCTGGGTTCTCTGTTCTGTTCCATTGATCTGAGTGTCTGTTTTTGTGCCAGTATCATACTGTTTTGATGATTACAGCTTTGTAATACAGCTTGCATTCTGGGATTATGATGCCTCCAGCTTTGGTTTTCTTTTTCAAGATTGCTTTGGCTATTCAGGGTCTTTTCTGGTTCCATACATATTTTAGGATTGTTTGTTAGTGGAGCTAGAATCTTTGGTTTTGGCCTTACTTGTGGGGCTTAGGAAACTGTGAATATGTAATAGGGATAATTTTCTCTGGAAAATTTAATCAGATGGAGAGCTCACTAGCATATTGTGGCTTTTCTCTATCTTCTTGTGTAATTAACTGCTTTCCAAGAAACTGAAGAAAAAGATTTTTTAAATAGTTTATTGTCAATTTGGTTTCCATGTAACACCTAGTGCTCACCCCAGCAAGTGCCTGTCACTCCCCTTCTCCTTTCCCCACCCCCATCAGCCCTCAGTTTGTTCTAAACTTTCAAGAGTCTCTCATGGTTTGCCTCCCTCCCTTTCCCCAACTATTTTTCCCCTTCTCCTCCCCCATGGTCCTCTGTTAAGTTTCTCCTGTTCCATTTTTAAGTGAAAACATATGGTATCTGTCTTTCTCGGCCTGACTTATTTTGCGCAGCATAACACCCTCAAGTTCCTTCCACATTGCTACAAATGACCAGATTTCATTCTTTCTCATTGCCATGTAGTATTCCATTGTATAGATGAACCACATATTCTTGATCCATTCGTCCATTGATGGACACTTAGGCTCTTTCCATGTTTTGGCTATTGTTGAGAGTGCTGCAATGAGCATTGGGGTACATGTGCCCCTATGCATCGCACTCCTACATCCCTTGGGTAAATTCCTAGCAGTGCTATTGCTGGGTCATAGGGGAGTTCTGTTGTTAATTTTTTGAGGAACCTCCACACTGTTTTCCAGAGGTGCTGCACCAGTTTACATTCCCACCAACAGTGTAGGAGGGTGCCCGTTTCTCCACATCCTCGCCAGCATCTATAGTCTCCTGATTTGCTCATTTTAGCCACTCTGCGGCATGAGGTGGTATCTCAGTATGGTTTTGATTTGTATTTCCCTGATGAGGAGGGATGCTGAGCATCGTTTCATGTGTCTGTTGGTCATCTGGATGTCCTCTTTGGAGAAATGTCTGTTCATGTCTTCTGCCCATTTCTTCACTGGATTATTTGTTTTTTGGGTGTGGAGATTGGTGAGTTCCTTATAGATTTTGGATACTAGCCCTTTATCTGATATGTCATTTGCAGCTATCTTTTCCCATTCCGTTGGTTGAAATTGCTGCAGTTGAAGTCAAGGATGTTGTTTCCTGCTTTCTCCTCTAGGATTTTGATAGTTTCCTGTCTCACACTCAGGTCGTTATCCATTTTGAGTTTATATATGGTGTAAGAAAGTTATCTAGTTTCATTCATTTGCACGTTGCTGTCCAGTTCTCCCAGCACCATCTGTTAAAGGGGCTTTTTTCCATTGGATACTCTTCCCTGCTTTGTCACAGATTAGTTGGTCATACATTTGTGGGTCCAATTCTGAGTTCTCTAAAAATGACTTTTTTCCTAAAGGTTTATTTTTGTTTTTTTAGAGAGAGAGAGTGTGAACGAGGTGGGGGAGGGATGTGGGGAGGGAGGAAGAGAGAGAGAGTGAGAGAGACAGAGACAGAGACTGAGAATCTCAAGCAGACACCACATTCAGCACAGAGCCCAACATGGGGCTCAATCCCATGACCCTGGGATTATGACCTGAGCTGAAATCAAGAGTCAGATGCGCAACTGACCGAACCACCCAGGCACCCTGATAATGAATTTTATTTAGTAGGAAACATATTTTATTTTGTCCCTTAGTCAAGTTAATTAATCCTAGCTTTTCTTTTTTCTGTCTCTAAAATGGGAGTACTGTATTTTTTCTTGGTATTTTTTAAAAAAAATTTACATCCAAGTTGGTTAGCATATGGTGCAACAATGATTTCAGGAGTAGATTCCTTAATGCCCCTTCCCCATTTTGCCCATCCCCCCTCCCACGACCCCTCCAGCAACCCTGTGTTTGTTCTCTATATTTAAGAGTCTCTTATGTTTTGTCCCCCTGCCTGTTTTTATATTATTTCTGCTTCCCTTCCCTTATGTTTATCTGTTTTGTATCTTAAAGTCTGCATATGAATGAGGTCATATCATATTTGACTGACTAGTCAGCTATTTCTTTCTCTGACTAATTTCGCTTAGCTGTATTCTTTTTTGTTTTACTGAATGCCATGAGGATAAAAGATGTTAGGCAGTTGAGCACCTACTACCCTACTTCTCCAATGGGATATCATGGGAAGAGGATTGTAACAGACTTATTTCTTTGATAATCAGGTATGGAATTGGCAAGCAGAGGAATGTGTTTTTCTACAAGCTCATCGGGAAACAGTGAAAGACTTTAGGCTCTTGAAAAATTCAAGACTGCTTTCCTGGTCATTTGATGGAACAGTGAAGGTAATTTGAAGCAAAAAAATTTTTTTAAGTATTCTGATATTGTAATGATTATATTGTGACAGCTAAAAGCAGATAGGTGGTAACTTTAATTTTAAAATTTCTATTTTCTCATGCCTGTTTTCTGTTTACTGCAATCATCTTCATCTCCGTGTTTAAGGACACTTAAAGAGATTAGAACAACCGTTGTACTAAAGCTCTTGTTTTATAGATATGTGTTCTAGATGATTATGCCCAGTAATACAAAATGTGCTTAAAAGTGTCAAATTCTGTATTTCTTTTTGAAGGTATGGAGTATTATTACTGGAAGAATAGAAAAAGATTTTGTCTGTCACCAAGATACAGTACTTTCTTGTGATATTTCTCCTGATGCTACGAAGTTTTCATCTACATCTGCTGACAAGACTGCAAAGGTAGGTCAGTTAGCTGAAATGTGCATGCATAGAAGTTAGGTATTGATTATGTATTATGAGTCCAAATGATATATAAAACAGTAAGATTCTGTGCGTCTCCTGTTTTGTGAATTTTTGGAGGATGCCCATAGTTTAACATTGAGGACTTTTGATTTCTGATTTACTAATGACTTTTTTCTCTATTACTAATAAAATGCAATATCTACTATATATTATAGGCAAGAAAAAGCACTGAAAGGAATTTACATTTAATTGCACATCCGTAGTAAAAGTTTATGCAATTGATATAAGTTGATACTTCTGAAAATCACATTCTGGTGAAATGCTGGCTTGTTGGGGACATTGACTACTCCATTCTCTAATTTTTTTCTCCATCTTTGTTAATGACCTCATTACCCATTTTTCCAAACTACAAACCTTGCAATTGACCAGGACTCTGTCCTGTCTTTCATGCTCTGTTGATTATTTCTTGGTGTTTATTGGCTCATTCTTCTCCTCTTCCCCATCCATAAGATTAGACTCTCCTTCGTTGGTGAACCTCTCTTTGGTCTGTGCCTCCTCCAGTTTATCTTCCTTCCTGCTGCCTGAGTCTCCTGTTGTAATACCTCTATGACCTGATGGTTTATATGCCAGACTCCTTTCCCCTTGACCATCTCTTTCTGCTGCATTGTTCCTTCTGTGCCAAGCTACTTTTACCTCCATCTACTGTGTACTCAGTTAACTTTGGTGTGACACAGCCTTCTCCTTTTTTACCTCAAAGCATTATGTCTCATTCTTTCAGCCATAGATTTGATGTCAGCTCTTTAGTGAACCCTTTCCTGGCCCTCAGGTGGGGTTAGCTTCCCTACCTTCATTGTTCCAGATTACTCCAGTTTCTTAGAACATTTACTTCATGTAACTATTTACTTAATGATTTGTAAATCTGTATACCTGATTATAGAGTTTTTAAGGACAGGGACTGTATCTAGTTCATTTTTGTACCACCAGTCCTTAGCTCCGTGTCTGGAACATGGTAATTTCAGTACATTCTTGTTAAAATGGTGATGATGTTGAACCACAAAGGAGAATATTGGAAAGAAAAAAAACAGCATTTTGGCTGCCAAGACAGTAGGATAGTATAATGACTAACCTTTAAAGAACCCTTGCCATATACTAGGCCCTATGCTACAATTTCACTATTATCTCACTTAATCTTCACACAGTAGGTACTATTATCCCATTGTACAGGTGCAGAAATGAAAGCTAGAGAAGCTTATGTGGGTTGTCCTCGGCCACAAGGAACTGGTCAGTACAAGGGAGCCAGTACTCACATTCAAGTTGGTTCTACTCTATAGACTGCTCTTAACTGATTTGCTATTCTTTCTTTTAAGTCTAAAGTTAAAGCAGCTGTGATTTTGGTCCTTGAGCTGAAGTTAACATGAGCAGTTAAAGGAAAGATCAGGAAAAAACAATGTTGCAAGTTGGAACTTGAGCCTCTAATGAAAATTTATGAAATGTTGAATGTTACAACTTCCATATGATTGAATTGGGGCTAACTAGCCCCAAGTCAGGGTTTGCAGGTACTTATTTTGAGTGTATTTACTATTCTTAAACAATCCTAATTGCCTTCCAGATTTGGAGTTTTGAACTTCTTTCCCCTCTTCATGAATTGAGGGGCCACAAAGGCTGTGTGCGCTGCTCTGCCTTCTCTATGGATAGTACCCTGTTGGCGACTGGAGATGACAATGGAGAAATCAGGGTAGGGTGTTTACTGACATGAAAGCACTGCTCTCTGTAGCTTTGATTAGCACTCTGTACCACACTGGAGACCTTTGTTAATGTGACTGAGAAGCACAGGCCGTGGGGTTCTGGTTGGATGAGACATTGTTTGCTTTATTTCCTGTGCATATTGTGTTCACAGCTGCACTCCTCTGCAGGAGAGAATTAATTTTAGTTAGAATGAAGTATATGAGTTAGAGTTTGTTGGGGGCACCTGAGTGGCTCATTAAGTTAAGCATCCAAATCTTGATCTTGGCTCAGGTCTTGATTTTGGGGTTGTGAGTTCAGGCCCCATGTTGGGCTCTGTGCTGGGCGTGGTGCCTACTTAAAAAAACAAAACAAAACAAAAACAGAGTCTATGAATGTGAGGAGGTAAATTCCTGAGTTATTTGCACTTCGTTGTTTGCTCTTAGCTTGAGGATGATTCATTGGAATTCTTGGACCTGAACCAAAGGTTGTTTATAGTGGCAGAATTTGAAGAAAATAATTTTATAAATCATTAACTAGATTATAAATGAATTGCAGATTCTGCTCTTTTTAGCACTGAAAGAAAAAATCACTTAATGAAACTATATCCATTAGATAGTCAACATTTACAGTGTGCCCTATTATAGTCCTTATGGGACTGCATGCCTTCGGTTGTGTTAGAAGGATTGGGTAGTTAGTTGATGGGAAAAATTTGGGCATTGGGATGGCTGCTTTAGTAACCAGTATATTTGAGGAGCGTCTTGTTTTTTGTTTTTTGTTGTTTTCTTTTTTTACAAAGGAAGATTTAAAGTTGATGAGAGCGTATTCAGTTTGCAGGAATAGAGACGTTATCAGATGGACTTTACAGGAAAATTAGGATTCTCCTTGAGGACTAAGTAACTAACCTTCTTTGTACTGTTCTAATAAATGCCATGTCAGCTGAAGTGGCAGGGCTGCTTTTGGAAACATTCATTTTGCTTTGAGTTCTCATCTTGGATGAAAAGGGCCCCTTTACTGGTTATAAAGGAATACTTCATTTTTTAGAAACCCCCCGGGGAAACAAATTCTCTTTCTTTATTTTATTAAAAAGTTTTTTTAATTAAATTTTTTTTTTTACTGTTTATTTTTGAAAGAGAGAGACAGAATGTGTCAGGGGAAGGGCAGAGAGAGAGGGAGACACAGAATCCAAAGTAGGCTCCAGGTTCTGAGCTGTCAGCACAGAGCCTGACACAGGGCTTAGGCTTGAATTCACGAACCATAAGATCATGATCTGAGCTGAAGTTGGACACTTAATTGACTAAACTGCCCAGCTGTCCCAAATTCTCTTTCTTTAAATGCATGTTATTTAAAAATTTTTCTTAAGTAACATTAAACAAACATTTTATTTTTCTTAAAAAATTTTTTTTAATGTTTATTTTTGAGAGACAGAGAGAGAGTCAGAGACAGAGATAGAGTGTGAGCAGGGGAGGTGCAGAGAGAGAGGGAGACACAGAATTCGAAGCAGGCTCCGGGAGAGAGAGAGACAGAGACAGAGTGCGAGCAGGGGAGGTGCAGAGAGAGAAGGAGACGCAGAATTCGAAGCAGGCTCCGGGCTCTGAGCTATTAGCACATTTAATCAACTGAGCCACCCAGGCACCTCTGTTTTTCTACTTGATTATTCAAAATGTAGCTGTTAAGTTCTCTGTGTGTGTGTGTGTGTGTGTGTGTGTGTATATGCATCTCTGATATTTAGCTATCTTATTAAATTCTAATGAGTTTGTCCATTTGATTTTCTTTGATATTCTAGGAAAACATTTACAAATGATGGTTCTGGTTATTTTCCTTTGCTGTTTATGCCTCTTTTTCTTTTTCTTTTTTTTTATGTTTTTATTTATTTCTAGGAGAGAGAGAGAGACAGCGTGAGCAGGGGAGGGTCAGAGAGAGAGGGAGTCACAGACTGAAACAGGCTCCAGGCTCTGAGCTGGCAGTCAGCACAGAGCCCGACGCGGGGCTCGAACCCACAAACCGCGAGATCATGACCTAAGCGAAAGTCGGACGCTTAACCGACTAAGCCACCCAGGCGCCCCTATGCCTCTTTTTCTTATTCTGTTGTGCGTTTATTGAAATATTATAGAATACTGCCCATGTATTAATTGTCACTGAAAATAAATGGAAATATTAGCATCTATAAGTGATTGGGTTGTTTATAAGGGTCTAGTAAAATAATCTTTATATATATATATCTTTATATACATTTATATGCATATACCTAAAACCTTATAGGCACTTATTGTTTAAATTCGTTTGAATGACCTCTGTCAGCATTCTTCATGGTAGATCCTGCCCTAGAATTCTATTTTTTTTTTTTTTTTTACATAGTTTGTTGGTCCTTTTTAGTTTATACCTTGCTTCTCCCACTCTTCTCTTTTTATTAAATGAAAAGAATCACAATATTCTGACCAATTGTTCTAAGTTCTCTTGTTTTATTTTTTGGAGTATGGTTAAGGATAAGTATTTTATTATTTTGTAATAATAAATACATTTTTACTATAGTGAGTGTTTTTTAAAAAATTGGACAGGAGAGACTGCAACCTAAAAAAATGCCTAAGGCATCACTGAATTGTAATTATATTTTTAAGAAAGATTTCCAAATATGTTCCAGATGAGATGCATAGATATATAAAACTTCTGGGTGACCTTGTTAATGCATTGTGTATTCTCTTGGTGTAGATATGGAATGTCTCAAATGGTGAGCTGCTTCATTTATGTGCTCCGGTTTTGATAGAAGAAGGAGCTGCTACCCATGGAGGCTGGGTGACTGATCTTTGCTTTTCACCAGATAGCAAAATGCTTGTCTCTGCTGGAGGATATCTTAAGGTAAGTCTTTCCTTAAAGACTGTGAAAGAGAAGAACAGCCTAAATACTACTTTCCAAGCTATTTTCACTTCTTGTTTCTTAATTGGGCCTCATACAGCCCAGCAGAATGGAAAGGCAGTGACCATTATCCTCATTTGGCCAAGATGAGACAGATCTGCAAGACTGCTTTCTTCAGTGTTCTTGGAAGTTTTGATGACAGTGTTAGGGATGTTTTCTGTACACAGCTCTCATAGTGCCCTATACTAAGATGATCAAAATGACTAGAAAGTTGGGTGTTTAACTTAATTTTCCACTTCACTGATGATTAACTCTTTTGGTTGAAAGTCTTTAATTATTTGTGAAAAAAATTTATTTGTGAAATTTCCTTTTTTTTTTCTTCCTCTTTATTTATTTTGAGAGAGAGAGAGAGAGAGAGAGCGAGCGAGCGAGCATGCGTAGGGGTGGGGCAGAGAGAGAGGGAGAGAGAGAAAATCCCAAGCAGGTTCCACACTGTCATTACAAAGCCTGACGTGGGGCTCAGACTCATGAACTGTGAGATCATGACCTGAGCAGAATCCAGTAGTCGGACTCTTAACTGACTGAGCCACCCAGATGCTCTGTGAAATTTGTTAAGTACTAGTAATAGTAGCAGAAGTAGTAGCAATTGTAATAGTAATAGTAGCAACAGCATATTGCTTTATTTTATAGCCTACACAATGGTTTACTTACATCATCTCAAAAGCCAGCTTTGTAAGCTTAAATTTTATTATCCTTGGTTTATAGGTGAGGAGACTGATGTTCATTGAGTGTGTTGTAGTGCCGCAGGGCTATTTTTTGGTGCTTGTATATATTTATCCACCCACTCAATAAGAATGTGTTAAGTGCCCACTGTGTGCTAAGACACTGCTGTATGGCACAGTGTTTAAGACTTGGTTTTTTGCCTTTCAGTGACTTACAGTCTGAGGGAAGCAGACAGTAAATAAATAATCTCTAAAATATAGGAGGGTTCTGGGACATGTGTGCATAAAAATGGAGTTAGCAGAGGCTTCTTAGGGAGGAGGATGCTTGAGGTGAGTCTTTTGAATGGTGGTACACTTGTAAACGGGGTTGAAGATACTATATATTGTTCTGACCACTTAAAATAGATCCCTAATAAATTAGATCTTATAATATTTCTTAACTGAAAACATTCAAATGTAGGAAATGATTCTGATTGTCTGATACAGATGTTCAAAAATATTTGAATGGATTGAAGTTTTTGGTTATATGAGGCCTACATAATTTTTTTAATGTTTTATTTATTTCTGAGAGACAGAGAGAGATTGAGAGAGAGAGAGGCAGTGTGAGCAGGGGAGGGTCAGAGAGAAAGGGAGATACAGAATCTGAAGTAGGCTCCAGTAAGCTAGTTGTCAGCACAGAGCCCAATGCGGGGCTTGAACCCACGAACCGTGAGAGCATGACCTGAGCTGAAGTCAGACGCTTAACCAACTGATCCACCCAGGCACCCCGAGGCCCACATAATTATAGTTTTACTCAACATTAAAATGTACCTTATAAGAAAGAAGACCGTTTTTAGCTCTGTGGGGTGGATGTTTGTTATGAACCCTTTTTAAGTTTGCATTGAGAATACAATGCTATTTATAAAATGTTGCATTAAACTTTACCTTTTTGGTATAGTTTATTTTATTTAGTTATTGGGAGGGATCTTGAAGCTATCACCATTTGTTTTCCTTTAGTGTAAGGATAAACTGTGACTCTTAGTCTGCTCTGAGGATGATGCTTAGAGGAGCAGCATTGTGATCTTGGGTTGGAAACAGAGGGTCTTGAGTTCCATTACCTGTTGAAAAGCATAACTGCTCAACTTTGACACTGAGCTTATAGAGACCATGTTATTTGATACTCTGGGCCCCATTGAAGGCTATCACATAATCATGAATCTGGCTTACAAGATGTGATAGCAGTCAATGACTAGATTTCCAGAGTTCTTGGAGAACCTTGAAACAGAGCATCAGAATAGATGTCTGTACTGTAGAAGTTATGTCTTTTTAAAATTTTTTTTAAATGTTTTATTTATTTCTGAAAGAGAGAGAGAGAGAGGCAGCATGAGCAGGGGAGGGTCAGAGAGAGGGGGAGACACAGAATCCGAAGCAGGCTCCAGGCTCTGAGCTAGCTGTCAGCACAGAGCTTGACGTGGGGCTTGAACCCATGAACTGTGAGATCATGACCTGAGCTGAAGTTGGACGCTTAACCGACAGAGCCACCCAGGACTCCACTTCCCTCTGGTTTGATTACTAGCATGGTTATACTGATTATGATATAGCCCAGCCAGCATGTTAATGAGACTATCAAAAGCACAGAGCAAATTAAAAGTAAAAAGGAACAGCTGCTGTAGTGTCCAAAGGAATGGGCCTTTTGAGTCTGTTTACTAAAGAATCTAAGCTATATAAATTGAATGTCAGTAGGATAAAGTAGATATCCAGTAGCTATAAAGCTCTTAAATTTCAAAATTTTTAAAAAATTTATTTATTTTGAGAAAAAGAGAGAATGCATGAGTAGGAGAGGGGCAGAGAGAATCCCAAGCAAGCTTCATGCTATCAGCCCACAGTCCAATGCGGGGCTTGATCCCACAAACCGTGAGACCATGACCTAAGCTGAGATCAAGAGTCATATCAGGGCGCCTGGGTGGCTCAGTTGGTTAAGCATGTGACTGACTTCAGCTCAGGTCATGATTTCGTGGTTTGTGAGTTTGGACCCCATGTTGGGCTCTGTGCTGATAGCTCAGAGCCTGGAGCCTCCTTTTGATTCTGTGTCTCCCTCTGTGCTCCTCCCCCCCCCTCTCTCTCTCTCTCAAAAATAAATATTTGGGGCACCTGGGTGGCTCAGTCAGTTAAGCATCCGACTTCGGCTTAGGTCATGATCTCACCGTTTGTGGGTTCAAGCCCCGCGTCGGGCTCTGTGCTGACAGCCAGCTCAGAGCCTGGAGCCTGTTTCAGATTCTGTGTCTCCCTGTCTTCCTGACCCTCCCCTGCTCACGCTGCCTCTCTTTCTCTCAGAAATAAATAAAACATTAAAAAAAATTTTTTTTAAATTAAGAAAAAAAGAGCCAAGTGAGCCATCCAGGCACTCCTCAAAATTATTACTATTATTAAGTTAGAAAGTAATAAAATTTAGCTGTTTACTTGTGTTATACCATAGAGTATGTATGTTAGAATGACAGGAAATCTACATTAGTTCATACTTATGAGAAGAAAGGCTGGTTTACTTTTTTTTTTAGTTTTTATTTCTGAGAGAGAGACAGCATGAGCAGGAGAGGGTCAGAGAGAGAGGGAGAATCTGAAGCAGGCTCCAGGATCTGAGCTAGCTGTCAGCACAGAGCCCTAATGTGGGGCTCGAACCCACGAACCATGAGGTCATGACCTGATCCGAAGTCAGACGCTTAACTGACTGAGCCACCCAAGCGTCCCAAGAAAGGCTGGTTTGAAATGTGGAGTATATCGTGAAAAAAGCATGTTTGCTATTACATAGAGGAAAGAGAATGTAATGGTCAGGAGAGTGAGTCTTGGGCAGATTGCCCAGAGTCAAAGCCTGGCTCTGCCACTCATTAGCTTTGTGATTTTGCATGAGATTAATCTCTCTATGCCTTGATTCTCTCATCTGTAAAATAGATATAGTTATAATCTCTAGCTCATAGAGTTGGGATGGTTAAAGGAGTTAATACATATAAAGCACTCATACATAGAGTCATATAGTGTACTCTGAGTAAATGTTAGCTATTTTTTAAAAATTCTCTTTCTTTTTTTAAAAAACTTTAATGTTTTATTTATTTTTGAGAGAGAGTACACTCAAGAGGGGGAGGGACAGAGAGAGAGAGGGAGACAATCTGAAGGAAGCTCCAGGCTCTGTGTTGTCAGCACAGAGCCCAGCACAGGGCTTGAACTCACGAGCCACAAGATCATGGCCTGAGCCACCCAGGTGCCCCAAATTCACTTTATTTCTTAGAGCAGTTTTAGGTTCACAGCAAAATTGAGCAGAAAGTAGAGTTCCCATATACCTCCTGCCCCCATATATGCACAGCCTTCCCACACTGTCCAAAGAATATTAACAGAGTGGTACATTTGTTACAATTGATGAACTTATATTGGCATGTCATTAGTACCTGAAGTCCATAGTTTACATTAGGGTTCACTCTTGGTGTTGTTCATTCTGTGAATTTTGCCAAATTTATAATGACATGTGTCCACCATTATAGTATCATCTAGAATAGTTTCATTGCCCTAAAAATTCCCTAATTTTAATGTCATTGTTTTTCAGTCCATATTCAAGTTAGTGGCTTGATATGGTGTTTCTTTTTTTTCCCTTTCTTAAAATTTATTTATTTATTAAATGATATAGTGTTTCTAAGCAGAGTGGTTTGTTTCAGTAGAGGGAAAGGTAGTGGCACTAGATTAGGTACCAGAAACAGTTCCGCTTTTGCCACCTGCTAGCAGTATCATCTTAGGTGATGAGGCCTTTCTTCTCTCAGAACCCTGGTTTCCTTATTTGTAAAATGAGGCAGTTGACCTAGGTAATCTCTAAGGGCCTTACTATCTCTGATTTGTTTCTAGGGAATGAAAAGTAATGAATTTTCTCTCAAGCAGGTGGAATGTGTCCTGTGCAGTCTTGATTACACTGCTGTTTTATAGAGCAAAATTGCCAGTTCTGGAAAACTTTTAAGTTAGTACAAGTTGCTGTAGTGAGGTTTACTAAAGTCCATGGGGTATTCTTTTACCAGTTACTATTACTGAGGGAACACAAATAGTTTAACCAGTCAAGCACTGTAATGACAGGCACTGCCCCAGATACAAAAATGAGTGACACTATTATTTTGTTCATGATACTCTGAATCTTGATGTACCTAATAATGCCTTTTCAAAAGGTGTTCATGTACGTTGCCTCTTTTGCCCTCATTTTAGCTGTGAGATAAATGGGTAAGCTTTATGAATGTCTCCATTTGGTTAATGACTGTAAATACTGTTACAATCTGAGTGAATTCAGTGATTGGGGGGAGAAAAGAAGGATTTGGCCAGAGTACTTGCTGCATTTGAGATGTTCAATATTTATTTAGCAAAATGTATAGACTGTTTTATAGAGAAACATGGTCATGAGCTCTTGAATCATCCTGATTAAAAGGAAGATTTGGTAGAGAGAACATTCTATCTCGTATCCTATAATAAGAAATAGTCTCTGTGTCTGTCAGAATACCAGTCTGTGTCTGCAAGGGGGCATTTTAATTTTTTTAGTTTTTATTTTTTTTAATGTTTATTTGTGAGGGACAGAGAGCGAGAGAGACACAGAGTCTGAAGCAGGCTCCAGGCTCTGAACTGTCAGCACAGAGCCCAGTCTGGTGTGAGACAGGACCTGAGCTGAAGTTGGACTTAACTGTCTCAGCCACCCCGGCGCCCCTGCAAAGGGGTATTTTTAAAGAAAAACGGGGTATTCTGTCCATTCTACTGAGAAAGACATGCAGACAGCAGAGTTCAGTGCAGTCATGGCCATCATTTACTTTGTGTAGACGGTGTCTTAGCTTTCAATAGGCTGCATATTTTTCCAGCACATGTGTTGCAGTTGGGTTAGGTGTTGCATAGCTGTGAGGAAGTCACTAGGATTAATCAGGAAATAGTGACTAGGTTAATAATACTGTATTCAGCATTAAACCTCAGAATTTTTTCCTGCAGTTTGCTGAAGTTTGGGAGTGGGGCGGTGATAGGGTGAAGGATCTAGCTGGCACTAACTACAATTGTTACACAGAGTAATTACCAATCTAATGAGAATTTTGTTTTTCTCTGAACAGTGGTGGAATGTTGACACTGGGGAATCCTCACAGACCTTCTACACAAATGGAACCAATCTTAAGAAAATACACGTGTCTCCTGACTTCAAAACATATGTGACTGTTGATAATCTTGGTATTTTATATATTTTACAGATGTTAGAGTAAAGTAGTTAAGGATTAATGTAGTTGAACTCTTTAATTTTGTTTTATTTTTAAAATTTTTTAATGTTTTATTTATTCTGAGAGAGAGAGAGAGAGAGAGAGAGAGAGAGAGAGACAGTGTGAGCAGGGGAGGGTCAGAGAGAGAGAGAGGGAGATACAGAACCTGAAACAGGCTCCAGGCTCTGAGCTAGCTGTCAGCACAGAGCTCAACGCGGGCTCGAATGCATGAACTGTGAGATAATGACCTAAGCCGAAGTCGGACGCTTAACTGACTGAGCCATCCAGGCGTCCCATCTTTTTAATTTTGAATTGGAAAAAATTCTATTGAAACTTCTGTATTTCAACTTTTTATAAAGCTGTGAATTGTTTTGTAGTATTGCATTCATTACGAAGGTGTTTGTGGTTGTATGAATAATATTAATGTAGCTTTTTCCCAAATGAACACACCTTTAATCTTGTTTTTCATAATCATCATCATTATTGTTAACAGTTTGTCCTTAAGATGCAAATGAAAATGTAAATATGTACCTTGTTATACTGTTGGTAAAATTCTCTCTTGATGCATTCAAATTGGTTGACATAATTAGAATAATTTGAAGGAAGTATGTATTTTAATGCTATTATTATGCAGGCTGTGCCTCAGGGTAGCAGTCCTGCTTTCTGAACCACATTACCCCAAGGGGTTTAGTTCTGTAAATTATAATCTTGGAGTTTATTTGCACCCCTTAAATTTGCTTTAAAAATATTAGGTCTACATGCAGAGTTTGCAACATTTCCTTCACTAGATAAGTGAGTGTTGGATTTCATAAGTTCTTGTGAAGCAAAAATCATTGTCTACCTTTTTCTCATTAGCTAATGGCAGCCTTGTGCTGTCTGTCTGTCTCTAGTTGTCTGTCTTTGAGTTGGGTGCTGTCCTGCTTGCTCTGGTTTTTTATGTACCAGACTTGTTACTTGACTGAACTTGACCTTTCTTTTTTTTTTAATTTTGAGAGTGAGTGAGAGAGCAAGCAGGTTTTGTGTGTGTGTGCGTGTGTGTGTGTGTGTGTGTGTGCGTGTGTGCGCGCGCACGTGCGTGCAGGGGAGGGGCAGAGAGAGAGAGGGAGAGAGAGAATCCCAAGCAGGCTCCACATTCAGCACAGAGCCTGATGCAGGGGGTTCAGTCCCATGCATCGTCAGATCATGACCAGAGCTGAAATCAAGAGTTGTCGCTTAACAACTGAGCCACCCACATGCCCGTGAACTTGATGTTTCTTAATCCTCACTTTTTTTTTTTAAAGCAATTGTTCTACAGTTGAATTTTTGTAAATTAGAATAATTGGGGAGGGGCCAATTTTCATTTTAAGTTTTAACAGAATTTTTCTAAGAAATATAAAATAGTAGGAAATCATTTTCTTCTATGTCTGTTTACTCAGATAAATGGCATTGTCAGTGCTGTTCTCAGTGAATTTCAAGAGAATTCTCTGTGCTTTTCTATGCAGTAATGGAAGAGTCCTCGTGAATCTGGAAACTGGCCTATCTTTTTTCTCTCCTCATTCCTACCTTCTCTCCCTCCAAGGTTAATCAGGAAAGGTAGCTCTTGACAGGGATAATGTACATCAGCATCAGTAACTAGCTTTTTTGGCTTCCTGATTAGGAATTTTAATTGCAGTTTAAAGATGCATTTTTGCCTAACAATGTATTAAGGGAAATGGCAATAAATTAATAATAGATGTAGTTCACATAAGAAAATAACCAAAATTCAACAATTTTGCTGCTGCAGCAGAAAGTAAATCAAATGAATATTAGTGTTAACAGGTAAGCAGTGAGCCAGTTTCTGTTGCTTGTGTATATTAGATGTGGTTTAGATAGGGGGGCCTAGACCACTCCAGATGTATTTTAGGTTAGATACTACTATTTAGCATTTGAGGGAGTCATGAGTAGACATTGTTAAGGAGGTTGGGCTTTTGGTTATTTATGATGGGTTGAGGTACTAGTTTACTGTGATTTCAGCAAATGTGATGTGAAAATCTTAATTTTATGAAAACAATTATGTAAGTGATATATTGTACTTAGAGCATCCAAATCATAGTTTGATTTGCATACAGTGTTTAGGAACTCATTTATAGCTCAGACTATAAAGTATTAACTTTTGGAACTAAAAGCCACTTGACAAAGTATAGAACAGACATTTGGCTTTTAAAAAGCTTTGATTGGTCGTTGTCTTTAAAATAAAAAGAAAAATGGGAAGAAAAGGTAATGACAAAAAGGCAAGATCAAAAAGACAAGAAGACAAGGTAACTTGAGGGAAGAAGAGAAACCTAACATAAGGGAGCTACATGTTTCATGGCAGCTCAACTGGTCAGTCAAAGGGAGGATTTTGTTTTGTACTTGCAGATGAGTATTTTCAAGCATTTTCCCTTGCTTTATTTTTTGTAATGGAAAGTACATTGCATTTTGTATATATAAAGTTTGTTTTTTTACATTGTGTCTTGTATGTTTTGAAAACTGTTAGTTTTGTATTTATGATACAAGTCACGATTTTTTTTTTGCCTTGGTATACATTTTAATACATGAATTTAAAAATTTTATAAAAATAAAATTCCTAAAATATTTTTGAAAAACATTTTCAGATTATTTCAGGCTCCTTGCTTGTCCTTTGTTAGTTAGAAAACAAATGTGAAAGATTCTTCAAGCTAAAGCTACCATCCTGTCTATTGCTTTATCAACTATGTCTAATTCAATTTTATCAAAGTTTTATCTTCTCAGTTTATCTCTGATGTTTACTACCTGGTGCGGTTGGCATGGTGCATGGTGAAGATCCTGTAAAGAAGAGAATAATTAATTTTTTATTATTTTTTTTATTTTTAAATGTTTTATTTATTTCTAGGAGAGAGAGAGAGCGTGAGCAGGGGAGGGTCAGAGAGAGAGGGAGTCGTAGACTGAAACAGGCTCCAGGCTCTGAGCTGGCAGCCAGCACAGAGCCCGACGCGGGGCTCGAACCCACGAACTGCGAGTACATGACCTAAGCGAAAGTCGGATGCTTAACCGACTAAGCCACCCAGGCGCCCCGAGAATAATTAATTTTTTAATTCAGTAAATATTTGTTGAGATCTACCACGTGTCTGGCATTTTTGTAGGAATTACGTATATAAAAGTGAGCAGAAAAAAAATGAGTCTTTGCTCTACTGCAGTTCAGGGCCAGGGGGAGGCAGACAAAAGTAAAATCTATAGTGATTGAGTTGGTATGTATAAATAGGGAGTTGGTAGCATTGTACTTGTATACAGACCTGAAAGATGGAGGAGTGAGTCATACAGGAATCTAGAGAGATTCCCAAGCAGAGTGCACTAGGCATAAAGACAGGATAGTGGATGGGTTGGTCTGTTACAGAGCTGGCAAGGAGGCTGGTGTGGCTGGTGAAGACTGTGTGAGGGGAGTGTAACAAGAGATGCATCACCATGCAGGGCCTCCTAGGCCATTGTAAGTGTTTATATTCTGAGATAGGAGCTACTGGAAGAGTTTGGGCAGTGGAGTGATCTGACTTAAGCTTTATTTTAGTTTTTAGAGAGAGAGAGTGTGTGTGTGAGCAGGAGAGAGGGGCAGAAAGAGAATTTTATAGAAGTTTATTTATTTAGTTAGGCAGACAGAGAGGGAGAGCATAAATCCCAAGCAAGTCCCACTCTATCAGCCTGGGGCTCAAACTCACAAACTGTGAGATCATGACCTGAGCTGAAATCAAGAGTCTGATGCTTAACTGACTGAGCCATCCAGGTGCCCTGAGAGAGAGATAGAGAGAGAGAGAATATTTTAAGCAAGCTCCATGCTCAGCATGGAGCCTGATGAAGGGCTTGATCTCATGACTCTGGGATCATGACCTGAGCCAACATCAAGAGTTGGATGTTTAACTGACTAAGCCACTCTGGTATTCTAAGATGTGATTGGTTCCTCTGGCAGTAGAAACCAATTGAGAATCAGTTGTAAAGGGTGACAGATAAGGGTGAAAGTAGGAATACCAGTGAGAAACTTATGCAATAATTTGGGCAAAATGAAGGCAGCCAGACTAAGTGGCAGCAGTAGGGGTTGTGACAGTTAAATTTTGGATATATTTTAAAGATAATAGGATTTGCCAGTGGATTGGATAAAAGTTGTGAGAAAGACAAGAATGATATAAAGGTTTTAGCCTCTTTGGCTTGAGCTATTGGAAGATTAGAATTGCCTTTAATGGAGATGAAGATAATTATGAAAGGAGCAGGGTTTTGGACATAGCAAGTTGGGGATGGCCATTAGGCATCCAAGTGGGTATGTTGTGTATTGGTGGGCAGATAAAAGGGTCTGGAGTTCATGGGAAAAATCTGTGATGCAGATACAAATCAGAGTCATCAGTGACTTTAAATACATTAAACATATTTAAAACCACAGGATCAGATGAGATCAGCAGTGAAACAGATGTTGATAGACAAGACAAGTCCTAAGCTGGAGTCCAGGGCAGTCTGAGGTTGGTGAGATGAAGGACCAGCACAGGAGACTGAGAAGGACCAGAAGGACCAAGAATTGCAGCTTGCTGTGGTAAGTATAGTGAATGCAGTGGGTATGGGTCTCTTAATGTGATCTTGGGCAAAATTTCTTTAGTGGTTTGTCTGTTCAGCTACTTGCCTATTATTAGTACTTGCTTACTATTTTAAGCAGCAGCCAAGGCAATAAAGAAATACATTTTAGTTATTGGGGGAGATTGAAGGCAATGGATAATATGAAAAGAAGAAAATACCAGCAGTTGTCTTATATGTAAAATGGGTATCTGTTCTTCCTTCTCATGGTTGTTGAAAAGATTTAATAAGGTAAAGCTCATGAAGTATTTACCTCTGTGGTTGGACCAAGAAAGCACTCAATGAACATTTCTTGGTGTTATTCGGGTCTTATCATCTTTGGCCTGGCACCGGTTTCCTGACTGCTATCTCTTGTGCCCCTCTGCTTTATTTTTCCAAAGTGCTCATTTTAATCTCGTCACTTCTCTTTATTTTCTCCAGAGGTACAATATAGAAAAAATTTATTTATCTCAGAAAACATAAAAGAAGTTGGATTACTTTGTCAGGACTTTTATTTCTAAACTGCCAAATTGATTCTTTATATATGCCTATATCTAGGCATAACTTTTAGCAATCTTATTTGGAAAGAAATGATATTTATTTTTTATTATTTATTTTTCTTAAATAGTTTATTGTCAAGTTGGTTTCCATATAACACCCAGTGCTCATCCCCACAAGTGCCCATCCTCCATGCCCAGCACCCCCCTTCCCCTTCCCCCCTACCCCATCTGCTCTCAGTTCTCAGCATTCAAGAATCTCTCATGGTTTGCCTCCCTCCCTCTCCCCAACTATTTCCTCCCTTCTTCTCCCCCATAGTCCTCTGTTAAGTTCCTCCTAATCCACCTATACGTGCAAACATATGGTATCTGTCCTTCTCTGCCTGACTTATTTCCTTCACAATAACACCCTCAAGGTCCATCCATGTTGCTACACATGGCCAGATTTCATTCTTTCTCATTTCCCTGTAGTATTCCATTGTATAGATAAACCACATTTCTTGATCCATTCGTCAGTTGATGGACGCTTTGGTTGTCACTTCTCTTTAAAACCCTGGACCTGTTCTCTTGCTTCTTTGTTTACGCTGTTCTCTCTTGTATACTGCCCTTCTCCAGCCTAATTTTTTTCCTAATTCCTTCTTATGTATTCTTTTTTTTTTTTTGATTTTGATTTTATTTTTTATTTTTTTTACAAATAGTTTATTGTCAAATTAGTTTCCACATAACACTCAGTGCTCATCCCCAAAGTGCCCTCCTCCATGCCCATCCCCCCCTCCCCCCCACATCCATCAGTCCTCAGTTTTTGTCAGCATTCAAGAGTCTCTCATGGTTTGCCTCTCTCCCTTTCCCCCACCATTTCCGCCCTTCTTCTCCCCCTTGTTCCTCCATCAAGTTCCTCCTAATCCTCCTATACGTGCAAACATATGATATTTGTCCTTCTCTGCCTGACTTATTTCACTCAGCATAACACCCTCAAGGTCCATCCATGTTGCTACACATGGCCAGATTTCATTGTTTCTCATTGCCATGTAGTATTCCATGGTATAGATAAACCACATCTTCTTGATCCATTCATCTGTTGATGGACACTTAGGCTCTTTCCATGTTTTAGCTATTGTGGAGAGTGCTGCTATGAACATTGGGGTACATGTGCTCCTGTGCCTCAGCATTTCTGTATCCCTTGGGTAAATTCCTAGCAGTGCTATTGCTGGGTCATAGGGGAGTTCTATTGTTAGTTTCCTGAGGAACCTCCACACTGTTTTCCAGAGGGGCTGTACCAGTTTACATTCCCACCAACAGTGTAGGAGGGTGCCCGTTTGTCCACATCCTCGCCAGCATCTCGAATTCTCTGATTTGCTCATTGTAGCCACTCTGACTGGCGTGAGGTGGTATCTCAGTGTGGTTTTGATTTGTTATTTCCCTGATGAGGAGGGATGCTGAGCATCGTTTCATGTGTCTCTTGGCCATCTGGATGTCCTCTTTGGAGAAGTGTCTGTTCATGTCTTCTGCCCATTTCTTCACTGGGTTGTTTGTTTTTCGGGCATGTAGTTTGGTGAGTTCCTTATAGATTCTGGATATTAACCCTTTATCTGATATGTCATTTGCAACTATCTTTTCCCATTCCGTTGGTTGCCTATTAATTTTCTGGGTTGTTTCTTTTGCTGTGCAGAAGCTTTTAATCTTGATGAGGTCCCAACAGTTTATTTTTGCTCTTGATTCCCTTGCTTTTGGGGAGGTGTCAAGTAAGAAGTTGCTGTGGTAGAGGTCAAGGAGGCTGTTTCCTGCTTTCTCCTCTAGGGTGTTGATAGTTTCCTGTCTCACGTTCAGGTCCTTTATCCATTTTGAATTGATTTTTGTGCATGGTGTGAGAAAATGATCTAGTTTCATTCTTCTGCATGTTGCTGTCCAATTCTCCCAACACCATCTGTTAAAAAGGCTGTCTTTTTTCCATTGGATATTCTTTCCTGCTTTGTCAAAGATCAGTTGGCTGTATACTTTTGGGTCCACTTCTGAGTTCTCAATTCTGTTCCATTGGTCTATGTGTCTGTTTTTGTGCCAATACCATACTGTCTTGAGGATGACAGCTTTGTAGTAGAGGCTGAAGTCTGGGATGGTGATCCCTCCCGTTTTGGTTTTATTTTTCAGGATTACTTTGGCTATTCGGGGTCTTTTGTGGTTCCATACAAATTTTTGGATAGTTTGTTCTAGTTTTGAGAAGTATGCTGGTGCAATTTTGATTGGAATTGCATTGAATGTGTAGAGTGCTTTAGGTAGTAATGACATCTTAACTATATTTATTCTTCCTATCCATGAGCATGGAATGTTTTTCCATTTCTTTGTGTCTTCTTCAATGTCCTTCCTAAGTTTTCTATAGTGTTCATCATACAGATCTCTTGTATCCTTGGTTAGGTTTATTCCGAGGTATTTTATGGTTTTTTGTGCAATTGTGAATGGGATCAGTTTCTTGATTTCTCTTTCTGTTGCTTCATTGTTGGTGTATAAAAATGCAACCGATTTCTGTACGTTGATTTTGTACCCTGCAACTTGGCTGAATTCTTGGATCAGTTCTAGTAGGCTTCTGGTGGAGTCTGTTGGGTTTTCGATGTAGAGTATCATGTCATCTGCGAAGAGTGAAAGTTTGACTTCCTCTTTGCCAATTCTGATGCCTTTGATTTCCTTTTGTTGTCTGATGGCTGATGCTAGGACTTCCAGCACTATGTTAAACAACAGTGGTGAGAGTGGACATCCCTGTCGTGTTCCTGATCTCAAGGGGAAAGCTCTCAGTTTTTCCCCGTTGAGGATGATGTTAGCTGAAGGCTTCTCATAGATGGCTTTGATGATGTTTAAGTAGGTTCCTTCTATCCCAACTTTCTCTAGAGTCTTTATTAAGAAGGGATGCTGTATTTTGTCAAATGCTTTTTCTGCATCTATTGACAGGATCATATGGTTTTTATCTTTTCTTTTATTGATATGATGTATCACATTGATTGATTTGCGAATGTTGAACCAGCCCTGTAACCCAGGAATGAATCCCACTTGATCTTGGTGGATGATTCTTTTGATATGCTGCTGGATTCGATTTGCAAGGATCTTGTTGAGAATTTTTGCATCCGTATTCATCAAGGATATTGGCCTATAGTTCTCTTTTTTTGCTGGATCTCTGTCTGGCTTGGGAATCAGAGTGATGCTGGCTTCATAAAATGAGTCCGGGAGTTTTCCTTCGACTTCTATTTTTTGGAATAGCTTGAGAAGAATTGGGATTAATTCTGTTTTAAATGTCTGGTAGAATTCCCCAGGGAAACCATCAGGTCCAGGGCTCTTATTTGTTGGGAGATTTTTGATCACTGATTCGATTTCTTCACTTGTTATGGGTCTGTTCAGGTTTTCTGTTTCTTCCCGTGTGAATTTTGGTAGTGAGTGTGTGTTTAGGAATTTGTCCATTTCTTCTAAGTTGTCCAATTTTGGCATATAATTTTTCATAGTATTCCCTGATAATTGCTTGTATTTCTGAGGGGTTGGTTGTAATAAGTCCATTTTCAGTCATAATTTTGTCTATTTGGGTGCTCTCTCTTTTCTTTTTGATAAGCCTGGCTAGAGGTTTGTCAATTTTGTTTACTTTTTCAAAAAACCAACTCTTGGTTTCATGGATCTGTTCAATTGTTTCTTTGGTCTCTATGTTGTTTATTTCTGCTCTAATTTTTACTGTTTCTCTTCTTCTACTGGGTTTAGGGCGTTCTTGTTGCTCTGCCTCTAGATCCTTTAGGTGAGCTGTTAGATTTTGGACTTGCGCTTTTTCTAATCTCTTAAAATAGGCCTGGAGAGCAATGTACTTTCCTCTTAGGACTGCCTTGGCCGCATCCCCTTATGTATTCTTTGAGATGACCCTTCTGCTGTAGGTCTGCCCTGCCCTCTCATAGTGCCCTCTTTTCTCTGCCATGTCTTTCATCATCCTGTATTGTTTACTTATTGGAGTCCCCTATTAGATCATAAACTCCATGAAGCTAGGTCTATGTCTTTTACACCACATTTAACATAAGCCTGGCTCCAGTTGGAGCCTCAGTAAATAGTTGTTGAATGATTGAAATTCTTGTATATACACTTGCATGCCCATAGCATATTCTCTGTTCTCCCTCTGCGCTGGGATATCAAGAAGCTAATTAAGAAGTAGTATGTCACCAGCATTTTCTTTATCTTCCTGTTTTAGTTTGGCATTTTATTGTGAAGCATCATTAGAGGAAAGTAAAACTTCACTTGAATAAAAAAGATTTGTTTCTAGATTATATGAAATGAATAAACATTTCCCTGAAGTGTTTAACTTGGTAAGTATGGCAATCTCTTATTCAACATTATGTTATTATAATTTACTGGCCTTTAGAGAAGGAGAAAATGATTTTCAAATAATTCTTGGTCTCTGAAGATTGTCACTTGAATAGATTTGCTTGCTCATAACCCCTCCCCTTAAGACTATGGAGATACTATACAGTTATTTAAATGCCTGAATTAGAATATCAGCTGCTATTGGGCTATAACCGTAGACCTACAACCACAGAATTATTGTGAAGTTATGTATATTCACAAGGAAGGGGCAAAAAAATGTACATCACACTTGGGACCCGTCAGAGACCCGGACTTTGAGGTCATTTGGCATCGATAGCATATTACTTCTAAGTCAGATGATGTAAGAAGACCAGAACTTGGGAAGTTTTCATTTCAATTATGATTCAGGAAAATTAGCTGCTGGTTTTCACGGTAAATTCATTTATGAGGTCAGGCCTTCAGAACTGGGAATACTCCTTATCACAGAGATGTAAACAGAAAATGTGCCTCTGTAATTTCCCATCACCCAAGGCAAGAATAACTAGAGAGAGAGTGCTATACCCAGGTTTGGGTCTGGTGGTTGTGAGCAGCTGATCAAACTGGAAAGCACCCATCAGCTGAGTGAAGCCTCCTGCTTAGTACAGGGTGGCTGTTGTGAGGAGTTGGAGCAAAGATTCTCACCATCCATTCAAATCTCCATTGCCTCCCCTCTCAGGGGACTGCCCAGCTGTTATTTTATCTTCACAGTACTTGAGAGGATTTGCAGACTCTGCAGTCCTAGCTTAGAGAGGAAGAGCTGCACCCCAGGCAGTTAATCAGTGACAAATCCAGGGCCACAGTCCAAATCTGATTTTCTTTTCTTTATAGAGAGACCCAGACCCACTGGGCTACAAGTGGAGTGTCAGTTTCAGTTGGAAGTGGAATCCTCCTGGGTTTATGGCAGATGAACACTAGTCCTAGGGGTCAAAATTTAGGGTTCAGCAGCTGGGGAAGATTTGAGAGATCTGTGTTTCTCATCTCTGATTCATTTTCATTTAGTGATTCTAAACCTTTCACCTTGTGTTTATTTGCCCCACTCTGTCAAATAACTTTCTGAGAACCAATAAATCCTTTTTAGGAAGAGGCAAGGAGGAGCTTTTATTTATTTATTTATTTTTACCAGCATTTTATGTGCCAGGTCTTATGCCAGACACTTTCCACATATTACTTAATTGAATCCTCACAGCAAGGCTGTACGGTGTTATTTCTGTTGTCTAGATGTGGAAACAGCCACAGCAAAGTGGTGGAGCTGGGGTTTTGGTCCATGTAGTTGGCCTCCTCACCAAAGCCCCTGGGCAAGAGTATCCAGGAGCATCATTTCAATTATGCACTTAATTCATTATTCATTTCACCCATTCATACTGTGCATTGTGACTGATCCTAAGTCCTAAACTGTCAGAGGTGGTCCCTGTACTTGAGGACCTTCTATTTGTGGTATTCTGGCAAGCCCATCTCTGTGCCTATAGATTGTTCTTTGCAAAAAGAAGCCCGGGCCGTTCTGACAGACAAATGGATGGCAGAGGTTGGGAGATCCTTTGGATTTGCTGGCACTTGGCCACTACTCAACCTGGTCTCAATTCTCAGATGACTCAGGCATTGAGCAGGGAAGATGGCAGCCTTACCATGGTCTGCTCCCTGGAGATGCCTATTTCTACATTGGAACTCTTAGGGCGTTCATTTCAAATTAGTGGCAGCTCTGGGGTTAGTGGATCCGTGTGCCTATCACCTTGATTTAATTTCCGTTTCTCCTTTCTCTTTCATTTGAAAAGGTATAGCCTCTCAGAGTCTGTTTCTTTATTGTAAAATAGGGACCACAACACTTAATTGCAGAGTTTTTTGTGAAGCTCAAAAAATATGTCAAGTATCTGACATAGGTCTCAGTAGCATTATTATTTTTTGTCTCAGCTACAAACCTCCATTCCTTTGCTGGTCACATTTCTATGGTTTACAGAGTGGGATGACTTTTGCTTTCTCTGGGCATCCTTTTCTACCTCATGGTAGATCTGTGTTCTTGGCTATTAGTTCCCAGGAGACAGACTTTGCTCAGCAGGAAAGCTGTCATCTGCTTTCTTCTGGGTTGTCTCAAACTTTATTTTCTTTGAGATATGTATGTACCTGTGAGTGGTAGAAGATTGGGAATGAGAATGGGAAGAACTTGCTTGGGTTTGTTGCTTGGACTGGTGCTTGGGCATGTGGTGGAACTCTGCCTTTGGCTGTTAAGTGTATCCAAGTCCAAATTCTGGCTGCAATAATGTCCTAGCTGTGTGACCTTCAGCAAATGTTTGAATTGTCTCAAGGACCTGCTTCCTAGGGAGCCTCTGGTGTGAAGACTTACATGGGCTGCCCAACATCTCAGGGAATCAAGAGGGCCTCATCCATCCAGGAGTGAAGCTTCTTTGTTGCACCTAGAACTACTTGGGAAACTTAAAAACTTCCCCAAACCCAAACTTCATCCCAGACCAATTAATTCAAAATCTCTGGAGATGAGACCCAGGTGTCTGTATTATCTTAAAATTCCCTAGTGCAGTATTTCAGTTTGCAGTGGAGGTTAAGAATCTTGATGGCCAGGCCATTGCTAGTTCTCTTCTTGTCCAACTGCCAGCTACAGTTGTGATGACTGCTGATAGTGTGCTCCTTCACACCTGCTCTGCCCTGACCTTCTCAGGAGTGTTGCTGGGCAGCATAGAAGTTTGGTGTGCATATTATATTAACACAGATGTGAGGATCTTCCCTGCTTGGATTTGATGGCTAATTTATCTCTTACAGGGTTATTACCATCAATTCCTTCTCTAGTCATGGCTTTCTCTGTCCAGACATCTCACCTCTGTGTGCTTGCTTTCACTTTTTACCTATTGATGTGATGAGTCCCATCATGGCAGACACTGTGGATGGCCAGTCTCATATCTAGTCTCTCCTTTTTCTTCACTAACAACTCCTGGATTGTTGGGAGCTGCGAAGTGCTTAGCTAAAATCAACAGCTACATTTTCTAGCTGCCTGTGTACGTGTGGCCAAAGAGATATAATTAGAAGCTGTGGGGTGAAGCTTCTAAGAAAGCTCCTAAAAGATTGCTTTACTCAGAAGACAGAAGAATTTTGGTCCTTACCATTCTTCTTCTTATCTGGAATGTGGATGTGCTAGATGATGCTCCAGCAGCCATTTTGTGATCATGAGGTGACCTTACAGATGGATGCCATATGCTAAGGGTTGATAGAGTAGGAATATAGAAGAAGCTCGTGGAGCTACCATTCCAGCCCTGTACTATATCTGAAGTTCATGCTACAGAGAAAAAATTCAACCTTTCCCTGTTTTAAGAGACTGTTATTTCTGGTCTTTGCTACTAGTCCCTGAATTTCCTGCTCCTGAATAAACCAACCTGGTGTATAAGAGCAGTTCAATAAATGTCAGTGACTCTGCATCTCTGCCTCCTCCACCCCCTCACTCTAGCCACAAACACACTGTTCCACCTCTGATAAGTGACTGGACATCTATCTGTGAGGCTGTTGAAGCCTGGTGGAATCTCAGGAAGTCACAAAGAAGTGATGCATGGATCACGCCCAGCCCACAGATGAGTTTTATTTGGCCCATACTTATTTTTTAAAATGCTGAATTTGTTGCCACCATTTGAAAACCTGGTGATTTTGCATAAGTTCTGATTTCCTGGAAAATCTGTTGACCCAGGGTCTTCATTTCTGCCTGGCAATGATCCACTGAAAGTAAGTAGCAGCTGCCCGCTGAGATGAGGCAGGTGTTCTGTGGATCATCACAGCCCCCCCCCCTTCACTCATGTCACCTGTGTGGCCCTGAAGGCAGCTGAGATTGCAACTTCCACCTCCCTACCCAGCCACACACCCATGAAATGGTCTGTTAAAATAGTATTCCTGAATTTCCTGTGCCTCTCTTCTTTCCCAATCTGCCTTGACTCAACACTTAGCACATTGGGGTTTTGTTTCTGTTTTTGTTTTTCTCAGAAAACTGAGCATGCACTTTTGAGAATTGGAGAGAAATCAACCTCTCAAATGTCAGAAAACAGCTGATGTTGCTTCTTGGAGGCGTCTTGACTTCTCTTCTCACATGTCTTCTGAGGAGAAGCAGTAAGAGGGAGAGCTGCAGGCTCCTCAGGGAGCAGCTGTTGGGATGCTTGATTGAGGCACTGAGACATCCAGAGGACATTTAAATTGAGTATTGAATATGGAATGCTTTGAACCGCTTTTATTACCATGTCATGAGTAAGAACGACTCCAGCTCAGCTTTTTCATTACGTTCTGAGACGTAACTTAGAGGTTCCTAAATGGCAGAACTTAGAAGATGTGCATTAGTTCCATTGTGCTTGTGAAGTCTGTTCTGCGATACGCGTGCTCCTCGACTGTCTGAACTCCTGAGAACACCTCAGCTGCTATGGCTGCCACCCTCAGCCGGGGTGACCCTATTGCAGCTGTTAAATGGAGAGTGTCTTTCAGCCTGATGTACTGTGAGGCTTTACGTCCTTGGTCATTAACTTGGAAAGTTAAATGTCCATGTAGCTTTTACAGACATAGGTCTCTGGGGTTTTGGGGAGTAAAACAAAAGCTATTTTGATGGTAAATAATTTGTAGCTATGATTCTTTACGAATTATACACAGAATATAGTATGTTGGGTCAGGAATGATCATCTTTGCATTAGCAATTCTAAGTAAAATAGTGCCATGCTTAACACAGAGCAAGTTCTCAGTAAGTAGGTTGGCCTGGGATGAAGAGAGGAAACAGTTAAGTGAAACTGGCATTCTCAGGTCCACACCAAATTCTGAAGAGTTAATTTCACCACAAAAATAAGTCCTGTCTCTTGGATACTAATGGAATTACACCGTATGCAGGATGGTGATTGGGCCACAGGCCTAAGGAAATTCTCTGCCTGTTTTGGAGCTGGTTTCTGGGGGAAGGAGGACTCTGTGGCTGGGGCACTGGAATGCCTGGGTTCATTCGTATATTTGCATAGACAGCAGTAAATGGGTGTGAGGTGTGCTGGGTATTGGAGCACAATTTCTGTCTAGAAATGGAGTAGGGGGTGCAGGCTGATGGAGCATTGGTGCAGGTAGACTCTGTTGGCCTATGTTGGCTGGTTCTCCAATTATATTTTAAGAAAATGTGTTTTAACTGTGTGATATCTTAATTTTCATAGGAATCATTCTCAGTGAATACCTTATATAAAGAGAACTGAAAAACTTAACATCTTAAAAAAGGATTTATTCCATATAGACTTCTGATCATGGTTATTATATTCCAGTTCTGTGGGAGAAGAATGAACTCTGGAGGCTAGCCCACTTACCAGATTTTCATTTCTTTTCAGAAGTAGCTTAGGAGCAGTTACTTTGGGGTCCAATTGTGAATTTTTATTTTTGAGATTTTGGCCATTTGTTTGTTATCTAAGCCTGTTGTCTGCCCCATTGTATCCAAACATTATATGCACTAGTAATATTCCTTACTAGTCCAACAGAAAATCTGGTATGTCTTGAGAAGAATCGCTACTATGACTTATTAATGAATTAACGAGGCATAATTTTCATAGGGTTCATTCACCTAAATTTATCATAGAAATAATTTAAGGAGAAAAAGGAGTAATTGAAGTCCTTTTTTGTAAGGGATCCCTGGGATCCCCATCCCCCATGGATACTGCAATTAGTGATGTGTCAGACTTCCCCTTAAGAAATTAGCTGCAGATCCTTTTCTCATTATGTGAGCACTCTTCTGTTTGCCCCTCAGACCTCTCCCCCCCTTCTCTGCTCTGTGTAGACCATATCAATGGGCTCCTTGTCCTCTGGCTTTCAGTGGGTTCAGGTAATGCAGGGTGGAGAGTGAGATCAGGTTGTTTTAATCTCTGGCTCCCTCTCTGAGGGCACCACAGCTGGCCATGTCCCTCAGCCTGTCTGGCAGCCCCCTCCATGCAGTTTTCTCCCTTCCCATTCTCCCTTAGGCAGTTACCAGCCCAGGGACACTGTTCATCTGTCTGTTTCCCTACATGCTGCCAGCTCCTATGTAAGTATTCTATTTATTAGACTCTTAAAATATCCCAATTGGAGTGTGCCATCTGCTTCATGCTGGGACTCTTAACAGATACAAATATGCATTTGATTCACAGAGAGAAGAGGACTGCTTACCTCTTGGTAGTTAGCAAAGATTAAAAAAAAAAGGGGTGGGGGGGCGGGCAAATTAACCCAGTTGAAGCATTACCATGTAAAGTTTTTTTAAATGTTTTCTTGAGAGAGAGAGAGACAATGTGTGAGTGGGGGAGGGGCAGAGAGAGAGAGGAGACAGAATCTGAAGAAGGCCACAAACTGAGCTAGCAGTACAGAGCCTGATGCAGGGTTCAAACCCACAAACCACAATATCATGATCTGAGCCAAAGTCAGAAGCTTAACTAACTGAGCCACCCAGGTGCCCCAAAGCATTACCATCTAAACTCCCAGCCCAAACCTTTCTTTAGGAAACCTGTCACTTGACTTGCAGCTGGCACATGTTTTAGGAAAATGGAAGGATGGATGAAGTAGTGATGGAATGTTTTGTCCCCTCAAAATTCATATGTTGAAGCCCTAATCCTCCAGTCTGATGGTATTTGGAGATGGACCTTTGTGGGATAATTAAGTTAGATGGAGTCATGATGGTGGGGCCCTCAGGGATGGGATTGGTGCCCTTATAAAGCTAGACACCAGAGAGCTTGCTGCTCCCCAACCCTCTGCACATATACAAAGAAGAGATCATGTGGCCACATAGTAAGATGGCAGATGCCTATAAACCAAGAGAAGAGCCCTCGGAGTGAAACCTGGGCCAGGCCAGCACCTTGATCGTGGCCTTTCCAGCCTCCAGAACTGTGAGAAATACATTTGTTTTTTAGCCACACAGTCTGTGGTATTTTGTTATGGTAAATCGGGTTGACAGAGACAAATGTGTAGATGTTTTTCCAAACATGCTATCTGCATTGTCCCAGACAAGTGATCTACTTGGGTGGCCCTGGCTTTTTTAGAAATTTCTGTTTTGGCAAGTCCTCCTTGTAGCCTACTTTAATATTTAAAGGCAATGGGGGTTGTTTTGGCTGAAATTTAAGCTTTAAAGGTCAATGTATCTTTGAGACTGATTGAACTTAGAAATGAGCAAGTTTTCTCAGTTTTGCCAATTACAAAATACCATTAGTATGGATGTTGAGGAGGCTGGGCCTTTGGTTTTGTTCCTAAATGGAAGTGGGAAGGTGCTCACAGACGATGCCAAGCACCGGTGGCTGTACAATTTGTTTTATTTTGTGTGCTTTTTTTTATAGGATATAAATAATGACAAAAATTACAAAATTTATAACTGGAAGCCCAAGCATTATTTACATGTATGTTTCTATTTCAGCAAAGCTACGATTTACTTTGCTCCTATACAATTACCTTTTGGTACCATATTTCAGTGTTATTTTATTCTCTGTTTACTACATACATATCAACAGTGAATAGGCAAAATATATACAAGGAACTGTTCAGGTCAAGTAATTTAATATTGTATTAAAATTCTTCAACACTGAACTAAATCCATATACATTTGTCAGTTTGAAACAAAATTTAGTTATCCTTTAAAACTCACCAACTGATAAATAACTGATAAGCCTCAGGTTTAAAATAATATTAGTTAATAAAAAAACATTAAGACAATCCCACAATTTATCAATATCGCTATAATGAACTTCAAAATGATTCACAATATGATCAGTTAGAACAATATACGTTAAAATGTTATTTTTTTCTATAATGATATTGGTACTGTTTATATAATTTGATTCTACATAAATATACATTATGGTATCATACAAATACTCCACAGACATTAAAAAAATTAAAATACCTTAAAGAAATGTAAGTAAATTTTATTTAATCAAATAGTAAGCAAACATTTATTTCAAGAAAAGAGTTTTATTACTTTGGAATCTCTCCTTTTTTTTTTTTTGTACTTTTTCTAGAAAAAAAATTTTTGCAATAGAATTTTATTAACACGGTTCTCAAAGGTTTCCATGACAGAAATCTTGACAGCAGGAGCCCTAGATTTTTTTTTTAACGTTTTCTTTAAAACACTGTGAAGGTTAAAAAAAAAACAAAACAATCTTTGCAGCTTATGGCTGCATCAGCACTTTCGGTTGGATGCCAGTCTGCTTGCCCTAGTCTCCTGCTCTGGGGAGCGTCATCAGTACTTTGCCACGCCCAAGCCAGTCCTCTCAGCGGTAGCAGTAAAAATTTAGTTATTTGAAATGAAACCAGAAACATCCCTCACAACTAACCTACTTTTCTTATCAGTGCATTAATGAAACATTCTTTTAATAAAAATATTTAATACAAGACACATTTCTCTGTGCATAATAAATTCCTGTTTTGAATCATTCTTAAATTTTGAATCAATCCATAGATGTAAATTTTTCTTTATCCAACATGGTTTATTACATATAAAATCCACAAATATAGAAATTGGGAAACAGGATTTCCTGGCAATCATGGGGGTGGTTTTTGTCCTTATGCATGAAATGATGCTCAGTGATATGATTTTACAGGTGTTTTATGGGGGTAGTTCTGTTCTGATTCTACCTTTAAAGCTGCTGACTGAAAAATCCAAGATTTTTATACTTTTAGGCAGTATTAGGGATCCCCTGTACTTTTTTTTTTAAAGTTATTATCCCCAGATTCAGCAAAGCAGTGTTGGGGCAGAGTCATTAGAAATACCTTGGGTGGCGGCAGGGAGGGGAGTCGGGAGAGTCAGCAAAAAAATCTCAACTCGTGCCTCTCAAGGGTTACAGCTGGAAAGTCTTGGTTGCACACTTTCTGTCACTGGTGCAGAAAGAACATCCCCAGGAATGGCCAGCGGCCTTTCGCCCGTGACAAGGCCACACAAACAGAGCAGTCTTCCTCCTGGGCTGGGTGGAAACGGAGGCGCGAAGGGAAGCCTGCTCCGGGACTGCTCCGCGTGCAAGGCACCGCGAGGACAGGAGGATGGTGAGTATCAGAAAATTGTGGTTTCATACTTGGTATTAATTCCTCTCTTGGCTTCTTGTCCCGGCTCCACAATCCACGGCAGATTGGCCAGAGTCTTTTGCTCAGATGGGTCGATCTGCTTTAAAACAGAAAGGCTGATGCCTGTTATACGGTACCTGTAACTGGGGTGCAAACATGCTTCCTAAAACGTCTTAGAAACCAACACTGTGCTCTGACAGGACTGCAGGGATACTGATGCGTGAGAATCTTGTGTTTGTCCTTTTAATACACATTTATTGCAGAAGGACTATATGCAAGGCACTCAAGGGAGTGGGTGGTGAATGAGACTCAGCCCTTGCTCTTGAAGGCACACAGATGGGGAGCAAACACAGAATTCTGCAGCTTAGTACTGGGAACGGAGAAAGGAGGAAGGGCAGGTGCTCTGTGGCCAGGGAGCCAGAGGACTTCCTAGAGAAGGTAACCAGGTTATGTTACTCCCCAGCTCTCAAGCCTACAGTGGTTTCTGTCACAAACCCAAAGTCCTTAAGGTGAAGTCCAGCCAGTCTAGCTTTGCTTCTTCCCGCAGGCCAACCCCACACCAAGGGCCTCTACTCACATCATCTGTTCTGCAGGAATGCCTTACACCCTAATGTCATTCAGGTTGCAACTCAAACATCACCACCTCACCTGTTCACCCTACACAAAATAGCATCCTAACTTTTCAGCTCTCTTCTTTATAATCCTCATTCCACTTACATTATCTCATGTTTATTGGCTCATCTTACACTGCAGCGTAGGATTTTGTTCTGTCACTGTTTTCCCCAAACTTAGAAAAGCTCCTGGCAACCCAGTAAATAATAGTAGGCACACAATAAATACTTAATAGAAAGATACTATAAAAGAATGAGGTAATATCTGAACAGCTGGAGGATGAGCAAGAATTTGCCTGGCAAGGGGGCAGGGAGAGGGGAACAGCATGTACAAAGCCCTGAGGTAGGGAGAAAGGGCTGGTTGAGAACTTGAAGTTTGCAGAGTGGGAGACAGGAGGGTAAATAGGTAAGCAGGGTCAGGTCAGGCTGAGCCTTGAACCAAACTGAGCTGAGCTGTAAAACAATTAAAACCATTTTAGCTCCTGTGCATACAAAGTCAAAACAGGCCATTCCTGGGTAAGGGTTGAGCTGTCAGCTCTCAGGAGGGGCCTTGGGAGGAGTTCTTCCCCACATTGCTGCCTCATCTTTGGTGCTTCCACATCTGCCCTGGCCCTGGCCACGTGCTCTGCTCAAGAATGCTGGGGCAAGGTAGCCTGGAAAGGCCTCTCTCATTTATCTCCTGTGAACTTTGGTGTCTGCTAGAAGGCTGTGGGACCCATGCCCTTTGGCTACCTTCCAGCATGATTTGATTGTATCTCCACAAAGCTGTGGGGAAGACTCCACATATTCTGAGGAATCATGGAATATTTTTCAGTAATAAACAGCTAAACCTGAAGGGGATGGGATGTTGAGGCAGTTAAAGAACGTCGGTATTATTCACTGTATATTTTCATATTTCTCAGTGAAGGGTTTATATGCATATTCTTTGAGCCCCCATGGCATCCAGCCCAGTTGTTCTCTCTTGGAAGAAGTCTATGGGGACCAGACTAAAGTCAGATGGAGGCACCTGCCATGAACAGATTTATCCAGCCCGTGTGAGAATGATTACAATAGTCTAAGAGAAAATCCAAAAAAAATTCTGAAAACTCCTGGAAATTTAACTTACAGTTTTGTGGGGGAAGATAATGAACAAATCTCTATCAATAAATGCTACACAGAATTAAAAGGTATATGCTTATGTGTGAAAAGGCATCTACCTCAGATTGGGTGGCCCAGGAAAAGCTTCAGTAGTGGAGACCTGAATGACAAGTGGTAGTCAGCTGTGCAGAAATGTGGGGGATACTATGCCAGGTGGAAGGGACAGGTAGCACGAAGGCCTTGTATAGGAGTGAGCTTTGGTCTGTTTGAGGAATAGGGAGGCCTGAGCATCATAGAGAAGTGTGGTGGAAAATTAGCTTTTGGAACTTGGAGCAGTGGCGCCATGATCTGATGTGTTTTTTAGGATCACTCTGGTTGTGTGGAGAAGAGAGGACATGTACTGCAATAGTTCTGGAGAGTAGTGATGATAGCCTGGATGAGAAGAGTGAGGAAATAGGAGTTGACAGATCTTTGTTTTAAGGGTTGAGTGGATAGAATCTGCTCATGGTTGTACATGGTGGTGAGAGGAAGACAGGAATTAAGGATGGTGTCTGGATTTATGGCTTAAACAATATGGTGAATGCTTATGCCATTTACTGAGCAGGGAAAGATTGAGAGTGTAAACCGCTTTGAGGGGAAAATCAAGAATTTTATTCTGGGGACTTCCAGGGAAGATAGTGGCAGAGAAGAATCCTAGGCTCAACTTATCCCATGGAAACACCTAGATAACACCCACAGCAGTGTAAATAACCCAGAAAATGACCTATAGCCTGGCAGAACAGACTTTCCACGGCTAAATTTAGGAAAGAGGCCACACTGAAGAAGGGAGGAAGGACAGAGATGCAATTGGAAGCCAAATGGGCTTTGGGACCTGAAGGAGGGATGCTGTAGGCACAGGGTACCTGCACCGTGGAAGATGAAGTCCCATAACGTCTGGCTTTGAAAACCATAGGGGCTTAACATTATGAGTTCTTAAAATCAGTTGGGCTTACCATACCTCGAACTTTGAAAATCAGTGAACCAGAGGGTGATAGGAAACTAAGTCTCTGCCCTTAAAGAGACAGCATAACAAATAGTCCCACCAAGTTTCAGCATAGAAGCAGCAGTTAGAAAAATGCCTGGAGTATACAGGAGGGAGGGAGGTTTATTTACTAATCTCTGAGCATGTGCCAGAGATCTTTGGGAGACTTTTCTAAGAACAAATGAAATGCCAGGCATCATTTCCTTCCCCCAACCCCAGCCTAGACACCAGTATACCTGTATGAACCAGTGCAGCAGGAACACTCTCTACCTAGCTTGCTAATAGCATCCCCTGCCCTGCCCCCATGGTTTCCTGAGGACCCACCTCCCAACCCAGCCTGTTGAGTCCATCCAAAGCAATGTCACAAGTGTGTCAGTATGCAAGCAGCCCTGACGGGGGTCAGCACCACCCCAAAGCAACTCCTGTCCTGGGGAGAGGGGAAGTAAACCACACACAGCAGTCTGACCACGGCCCCAGGAAGGGACTGGGAACATTTAGTCTGACTGCAGGCCCCCGCACTGCCCCCCCTCCCCCAACAAAAGCTTCTCAGGGGACAACACAGGGAGCACCTTAAGTGTGGTGCTCCTGTAGCTCTGGTCTAACCCAACTTAAGCCCAAGGCAGCCCCAGACTGACCCCCTAACACAGGGACCAAACCCTGCCCACATCAGGCAAAGAACCATAGCAGACAATTGGACTGAAGGCAAAAACAGGTCAGCCACAACAGTAAGGCACACACAACACAGAGAGGAGACACTTCAGAAGTGCCAGATTCTGGTGAACAGAGGACACTGCACTGTAGGGCACTATAGGACCTCTTGATAAGATCACTACTTTCAAGAGCATAAGACATAACTAACTTTCCTAATACACAGAAACAAGACACAGAAAGACAAAATGAGACAGAGAAATATGTCCCAAATAAAAGAACAGGACAGAGTCACAGCAAGACAGCTAAAATCTTAGAGATAAGTAATATGTGTGGGTAATAAAGTTCATAAAGATAATGGAGTTAAGAGTAGAGGACCTCTGTGAGACCCTCAACAAAGATAGAAAACACAAAAAAGAACCAATCAGAGATGAAAAACCCAATAACAAATTAAAAACACATCAGAGGGAAAAATAGTAGACTAAAGGAAGCAGAAGAATGGATCAATGACCTGGAAGACAGAGTGAGGGAAAGCAATCAAGCTGAAGAGGAGAAAGGAAAGAGCTTAATAAAAAATGAGAATAGATTAAGGGAACTCAGTGACACCATATAGCATAATAACATGCATTATAGGGATCCCAGAAAGAGAAAAAGGGGCAGAAAACTTATTGGAAGAAATAATAGCTTAAAAGTTAGCCAGTATCAAGAATGAAACAAATCTAGATCCTGGAGACACAGAGTATCCCCAACTAAATCAACCCAAGGAACAACACACCAAAACATACAGTAATTAAAATAGCCAAAAGTAATGATAAAGAGAGAATTTGTAAAGTAGCATGAGAAAGAAAACAGCTAAATACAAAAGGAAGCCCCATTAGGCAATCCGCTGGTATTTCAGCAGAAATTTTGCAGGCCAGAAGGGAGTGGCATGACATATTCAAAGTGCTGAAAGAAAAAAAAACCCTGCAGCCAAGAGTACTCTAATCAGCAAGGCTATCATTCAGAATTGAGAGAGAGTTCCCACAGCAAAAGTTAAAGGAATTCATGATCACTAAACCAGCCCTATAAGAATTGTTAAAGGGACTCTGAGTGGAAAGAAAATTTTCGCTCCTAAAAAAGGAGTAAAAATTTATTACCTTTATTTTATTTTATTTTTTAAAGTTTATTTTGAGAGAGAACACACATGAGCAGGGGAGGGACAGAGAGAAAAGGAGAGAGAGAATCCCAAGCAGACTCTGCACTGTCTGCATGGAGCCCAAAAATGTGGGGTTCCATCTCATGAACCATGAGATCATGACCTGAGCCAAAATCAAGAGTTGGAACCTTAACTGACTGAACCACCCAGTCACCCCAGATTTTATTGCTTTTAGAATGGGTTCAAACTTAAGTGCCCATCTACTTAATATAGACTCCTATATGCATAGGATGTTATACACAAACCTTATGGTAACCACAAATCAAAAGCTGGTAACAGGCAAAAAATAAAGAAAAGAATCTATATCATTAAAGAAAGCTAGCAAACCATGAGAGGAGAGAGAAAGAGAAGAAAGAAACAGAGAAGAACTACAAAAACAACAGGTAACAAAATGGCAATAAGTGCATACCTATCAATAATTACTTGAATGTAAATGGACTAAATGCTCCAATCAAAATACAGAGGGTGATGAAATGGATAAAAAAGCAAGACCCATCTATATGCTGCCTACAAGAGACTTATTTCAGACCTAAAGATATATGAGATTGAAAGTAAAGGGATGGAAAAGCATTTCGCATGCAAATGGAAGTGAAAAGAAAGCTGGGGTGGCAATACTTACATCAGACAAACTAGACTTCAAAACAGACTGTAACAAGGGACAAAGAAGGACACTATATAATCATAAAGGGAACAATCCAACAAGAAGATATAACATGGAAGCACCCAAATACATAAGAAGCTCATAACAAACATAAAGGACATAATTGATAGTAATATGACAGTAGTACGGGACTTTAATGCTTCACTTACATCAATGGACAGTTCACCCAAACAAAACAGATAAGGAAACAGTGGCTTTACTAGATGGACTTAACAGATATATACAGAACACTCCATCCTAAAACAGCAGAATACACATTTGTTTCAAGTGCACATGAACATTTTCCAGAATAGATCATATTAGGCCACAAGATAAGTCTCAACAAATTGAAAAATGCTGAAGTCATGACTTGCATCTTTTCCGGCCACAACACTATGAAACTAGAAATCAACCGCAAGAAAAAATCTGGAAAGAATGTAAATACTGGAGGTTAAGTAACACCTATAAAACAATGAATGGGTCAACCAAGAAATAAAAGAGGAAATTAGAAAATACAAATGAAAACACAGTGGTTCTAAATCTTTGGGATGCACCAAAAGCTGTTCTAAAAGGGAAGTTTATAGCAATACAGACCTAACTCAAGAAGCAAGAAAAATCTCAAACAATGTAACCTTATAGCTAAAGGAGCTAGTAAAAGAAGAACAAACAAAACCTAAAACCCGTAGCAGGAAGGAAATAATAGAGCAGAAATAAATGAAATAGAAAAATAAAAACAAAACACCAACAGAACAGATCAATGAAACCAGGAGCTGGTTCTTTGAAAAGATCAAGAAAATTGATAAGCCTCTAGCCAGACACATCAAAAATAAAAAATAAAGAGGACTCAAATAAAGAGGAGAAATAGCAATGGACACCACAGAGAAAAACAAGAATTATAATATTATGAAAAATTAATGCCAACAAATTGGACAACCTAGAAGAAATTGATAAATTCTTAGAAACATATAATCTCCCAAAAGTGAATCAGGAAAAACTAGAAAATTTGAACAGACCAATTGCCAACAATGAAATTGAATCAGTAATCAAAAAACTCCCAACAAATAAAAGTCCAGGACCAGGTGGCTTCAGAGGTGAATTCTATAAACATTTAAAGAAGAGTTAATTACCAATTCTTAAACTTTTCTGGAGAATAGAAGAGGAAGGCAAGTTTCCAAATTGATGCTGATACCAAAACCAAAAGACACTATAAAAAAAGAGACCTATAGGCTAATATCTAATGAACACTGATGCAAAAATTGAGAACAAAATATTGGCAAACTGAATTTAGTAATACATTAAAAAAAATCACTCACCAAGATCAAGTGGTACTCCCCACCTCCCCCCATGCAAGGGTGTTTTGATATTTGCATATCAACATGCTATGTCACATCAATAAGAGGATAAAAACCATATGATCATCTCAACAAATACAGAAAAAGCATCTGGCAAAGTGCAATATCAATATTCATGATAAAAACTCAACAATGTAGGTTTTAGAGGGAACATACGTCAACAAAATAAAGGATGAAAAACCCACAGCTAACGTCATACTCAATGTTGAATAACAGAGCTATTCCCCTAAGTTGAGGAATAAGTGTGTCCACTCTGACCACTTTTATTCCAATACTGGCAGTCCTAGCCAGAACAATCAGCCAAGAAAAAGAAATGAAAGGCATTCAAATTCGTATGGAAGAATAAAATTCATTATTTTCAGATGACATTATACTATGTATAGAAAACCATAAAGACTACCAAAAAACTACTAGAACTGATAAAATCCATATACAAAAACCACTGCATTTCTATACACTAATAATGAAGCAGCAGAAAGAGTAATTAAGAAGATACCCTCACTTATAATTGCACCCAAAATAATAAAATACCTAGGACTAAACTTAGCTAAGTAGGTGAAAGATCTATACCCTGAACAAACACTGATGAAAGAAATTGAAGATGATATAAACAAATGGCAAGGTACTCCATGCTTACAGACTGGGAGAACAAATATTGTTAAAACGTTTACCTAAAATAATTTACAGATTAAATGCAATCTCTATCAAAATGCCAACAACTTTTTTCACAGAACTAGAAGGCATAATCCTAAAATTTGTATGGAACCACAAAAAGACCCTGAATAGCCAAAGCGATCTTGAAAAATAAGAACAAAACTGGAGGTATCACAATCCCAAATTTCAAGATACATTTCAAAGCTGTAGTAATCAAAACAGTATAGTACTGGCACAAAAACAGATACGTAGATCAGTGGAACACAAGAGGGAGACCATAAATAGATCCATGATATGATCTATGAGTCTTCAATAAAAGAGACAAGAATATGTAATGGGAAAAAGAATCTCTTCAACAAATGGTGCTGGAAAGTGGACAGCTACATGCAAAAGAATGAAAGTGGCTCACTTTCTTACATATACACAAAAATAAACTCAAAATGGATTAAGGACCTAAATATGAGACCTGAAACCATAAAAATCCTAGAAGAGAGCACAGGCAGTAATTTCTCTGACATCAGCCATAGCAACATTTTTCTAGATGTCTCCTGAGGCAAGAAAACAAGAGCATAAATAAACTGTTGGGAGTATATAAAAATAAAAAGCTTCTGCACAGCAAAGAAAACAGTTTACAAAATTAGACAACCAACTGTATGGGAAAAGATATTTACAAATGACAGCTGATAAGGGGTTAGTATCCAAAATCTATAAAGAACTTATACAACTCAACACAAGAAACGCCAAAACCCAATTAAAAATAGATACGCATGGGAGCAAATGGCTGGGGTGGGGTGGCAGTGAGCAATCAAGGAGAGAAGTGCTGGAAGGATCATCTCCATGGATGTTGAAGCTGCCAAGAATGGTGACAGGAGTAGAGGCCCAAAGGAAGACTGTAAACCAGAAGCCACATGGTCACCAAGGGAGGCACTTCCTGACAAACATTAAAGATTCTACACTTCTGTGACCCCATGGGCAGGGATGGTAGGAAGGAAAGAGTCGGAGATAGAGGGATATATGAGTATGAGAGCAGGGCATCTGGGGGTGCCTGCCTGCCCCAAGCCACAGAGTTGCTAGGATGCCATAAGGCAGCTGGAGCAGAAGCCAGATGGGAGGCTGATTGGGAATGCACCAGCTTCTGGGTATTGCTACTACCAGAAGAGGCCGCTTTGAAGTCATGAAAGTCTGTTAGGACAGGATGTCTACAGAGCTTGTGGGAGGGAAGGGGGAGGAAATTCCTAGAGGAAGGCAGATGACAAGGAGGAAGGTGAAGAGTCACCACTCTGCAGGAAGCCTCAGCTGCTGGGAGAAAGCCTGCCAAAAGCTGGCATCTAGGCCTCCAGCAAAGGGGGATAGGGCTGCTTTGCTGTGAGCACGCACAGCCTGTGCACCTAGCTTCCTTTAGCTGGGTACCTGGGACACCTTGCTGTGAACCTCTGCCAACCACTCCAAGGGCCAGTAGCCTGCAAGAGGCTCTGGTCCCTGGTGTGATGGCAGCGAAGCCTCAGAGAACATCATTCCCAAGCTTTCCTGGACCTTGAGGAAAGATTCATCAAGGAAAAGCAGCAGCATCCAGTCCCCTCCCCACCCCCCCGCCCCACGACACAGAAAGAGTGAAATTTTCTTGGGAACCTCAAGGTTCAGGCAGATCATCCCCCAAGACTTTGCAGGAACCAGGCTGGGAGGATGAAGGATGCATGCCAGGAGGAGGCCAAGGGAGACAGAGAAATGTGGTCCCACACCACTCAGGGCCTGCTTAACAACTTTCTCTCCCTCCAGCTCAAGATTTTCAGAACATCTGTTATCTTTTCTACTTACCACCGATTTGCGAATGCTGACACGGGGCTTGGGGATGGGTTTGGAGGGTTTGTTTTCAAAGCTTTCTGGAAGTGTAGAGGAATGCCCCCCTTTTCTTGCTTGTAGTGCAAGCTGGTAAGCGACTTCAAATGCCTGTCCCAGTGTTAGGATGATTTCATAGGCTAAATTCTGCAAGAGTAAAGAGAAAGCATTTACTATGGTGTACCATAGGGTGGCCAAGCCGAGTGGCTGAGGAGCACTGTGGGAGGTGAACTAGCAAGGACCTTGAACTACTCCACCTGGTATGGCAGTGAGTCAGTGGAAATCTGTGAAAAACAGGAAACTAGGTCCAATTTGGAGTCTATATGAGGCATTAGTCAGCAATGTGATACACTCTTACAGCCATGCTATGGAGCTGACCCCCAACTTCACCCCATGGGGAGCAGGCCCCCACCCACTGGCCCCAGGAGCCTACTCCATTCAGAGCCTCCTCATGGGCATCTGGTTTGCTCCCAGGCCTTGGAAGATAAGGGGTTAACTCTGGTCCTTCATCTTAGTTCTGGGAGCGCCTCAGCCCCAGAGCCCACACACACCACAGGAGGTGTTCCTGAGAAGTTTGGGTCTTTTTACCTCAAACATCTGTGACTCAGTGAACATCTCTAAAGCACAATCAAAATCTAATTTAGGCGGAGGGGAGAGGCATTAGTCATGCTGGTGTGGCGTCTCACAGTTACAGCAGCCAGCATGCAAACAGAGCCAATTATCCATCTATTTCTTGAGGCGCTTGCTCTCCCTGTGGGTCCACTCCATATTTTATCATCAAATCAGCAAGAGACAGGAGATTGTGTCAGGCCTGAATGCCATGCCAAGCAGTGCTTGGGAGAAAGGTTCTTTTCATCAGACCTTCAATCACTCCTTTCAGGATGACTTCTAGCTTTCTTTTCTCCTCTCCAGATACGTATCTTGGATTTCTGCCTTCTCTTCCCAGCACAGCTCCACCCTGTCTTCTCTCACTGAGAAAACATGACATTGTCTGACCCCAAAGAGGCAGGGTCTCGACAACACCCCTGAGGTCACAACGCACTGAAGAGGTAGATGCCTATTAGTCATAGAGAGCTTTCTTAAAATCACTGCACCAGCAGAGAGGATGCATGGTCTGTCCCAAATTTTCATTCTGATCAATGTCCCTAGAATGTCTATTCATGGTTTCTTAAAACACAGAAATGGCATTCTGCTTATGCTGCTTTTGCAACTATACCCATCTCTAGCCTCTCTTCCCCAGTCAAGCATATGGAACAGCTCAACTCTCATGATTCTGGGGAGAACTGTTTGGGACTATTCCCACTTGAAGATGGTGAAGGAGATACAGGATGGCCTTCAGAGGCCATGTGGAAGGAGCCTGTGCATTTCAGGACAGACCAGATTTCAGATCAATGCCAGACTGTTGTGATCTTGGGCCCAAGCAAGGAGAACACTTCCGAGCTCAAAAACTGTTTTTGACAGAGGCAGTGTCTTCTTTTTTGAGTGACATGTTATGAAATGATGGCCCCACAAGACAGATGTGTGCTTGTTGGAGACACTAAACCTCACGCAGCCAACCGAGCACATCCTGCAATGAACACTGATCCTGTGTTTGCCTCCAAGGATGAGTCAGACTAGTAAATTAGCAGTGCACCAACAAATGATAGTGGAGGAGGGCTGGCAGACAGCTCCGGCCATCACTGTACAGAGGGCTGAACCCTTCGACTGCCTACACTTGGCACTCACGTCATCATCAGCCTTGCCTTCTTGGGCACAGATGGGACCCCTCTGAAAGGCAGACTGGGGCTTCTGATTTCTGCAGTCTCCATGTGAAGTCACAGGCTCTTGGTCTTGTTCACCATGACTGTGGAGATGGTTGATGTCCATCTGTCAGGCCATATAGCACATATTCATTGCTCTGGGTGGGCAAATGGACTAAGGGAAAGATGGCAGATTCAACAATTCTGTAATGTTCAGCTTTTAGGTCTTGGAACAGTGGAGCTTAATGAGTGTGAATTCCTTTATCATTAACCTAAAAACAAATTCCTGAAAGTGAGATTTACTTAAAGCTCCAGTGTCTTCAATTCAAAGTTGAAGATCCTCATTTGAACAAGTGAGATTTTTCACATGACTATTATGGGAAGCCTAAAGGGTTTGAAAGGTACTGGGTTAGAAGCCCTGCATTTTCATTTTTAATTACTTCCTGCTGTTATGAAACTGCTCAAATAAGACAGAGAGGCCCCAGGTATTGCTGAGCAGAGAAGAGCAGAACTGCGGTATTCTGCCCAAATCCCTAACTCACAGAATCATAAACATAATGAAGTGGATGCTCTTCTATGTCACTAAGTTTTAGAATGGTTTGTTAAGCAGCAGTAGATAACTGGAACACCATGTAGTGCTACAGAAGGCTGGCTCGATCCTTATTCAGGTAGCAGGAAGAGGAACTTCCAGCCTTGAGCTGGGATGAACAGTATGTAGTCATGGGGAGTTACTCCTGGAGCCACCAACCCTCAGCCCCAGCCATGGAAAATCTAGATGTAAGCACTAAGGTGTCCCTTCACACATGCTAGCCCAAACCACAGAGCACTGGAATGTCCTTTTAAGTTGGCACAACCATGTTCTCATCTGTAGCCACTAACTCCCTTGAAGTCAAACTCCTTTAGCTTTACATTCACTACCTTACATCTTTCAAATGCTGTAATTGGGCTAGTCTCTGACCTTGGCTCTTCCTGTTCCTCCTAGCTTATTGAAAAATACTTGCCCTGAATTTTCCAGCACCAGTCTCTTTCCAGAATCACATTTATTATGGCAATTGGCAATGAGCCAATGATTACTGGGGAGAGGATGCTCTGAGCCTCACTTTTCTTAATATGCAGTACTTACCTTGCTGGATTGTTTTGAGAATCACTCACAATTACACTTAACCAATGACAATTCAGCCAACACTCATGATTTTCTGTGTGCCATGCACCGTATGACATGCTTCACATGAACTCTCTCCTTGAATCATGACAACTCTGTGGGTGCTATTAATAACGCTGGAATTATTATTCCTAATTTATATGTGAGCTCAGAACAGTTAAATAACTTGTCCATGAAGTTAGTACCAGCAGAACTGGGATTTGAATCCAGGTGTGGAGAGGCTATGCTCTTGACCACTATACCTTAGAACCACACTTAAGATAAATGACTTCTGCAAACTGTTAAAAAAAAAAAAGTATAAAAACATTAAATACAGAAGCTCCTGGGTGGTTGATGCATCGTGGCTGGGATGAGGGTACTTAAAGGTACACAATTTGCCTGGGTCTCATGCCAAAACCAGTGGAGAGGCAGCCTACAGGCAAAGGGTGTCCTTTGTGACTTAACATGATCCATCATCGCAGGGATTTTCAACCAGTGGATGCGCCCCTTTCATGATGAGGGATGCCAGGCAACACTCCCTCTCCAGCAGAGGTCCTTTAGGATGAATGCAGGGAATTCCAAGTCAATGGGGACAACCATCCCTAGGGAAACATCACCATCTCCAAAGCCCTTCCCTTTTCTCCTAGGGACTTTGATCTGTGAATTAAGAATTACCACATTAGAGGAATTTGCAGAGCCATTGTATTTTAAGGATAGATCTTAACAGTAATCAAGGGACACAAACTGGAGATATGTAGGCAAGCTTGCATTTACTGTGAGCTCAAGACAGGACTACAGTTGACCATCAGCTTGGATACTTACTGAGCTACTTCCATGTGTCAGGGGCTGAGTTCCTGATGCCTAGCCCATGCCTGGTCTGTAGCAAGTGTCCAGGAAGTGCTCACTGAATGATGTGGACAAGGGGAGGCTCGTGGAGACACAAAGACATGTCCCCATTGTCCTCCTGCATCCTAGTCACTGAGGCTGTACCTTGCACATTGATCAGTTTGGTGTTAGAAAAACTTCAGCAGAGATATGGACAATCTGTTCCCTAGGAAAAATTTTGGCCACTCAGGTAATTAAGTTACATTGACTGATGCATCACTAAGATTTTTTCCTGCTTTATAATTTTGTGTTTTATTTGAAAAATTAATACTTATCATTTCCATAATCTGATAATAATCATTATAACAAAGGAAGAAGTAAACATCAAATAGCTTAGAAAAGAAGAATCAGCTCATAAAACTTAGAAATTTTTTTTGAGATAGAGAAAGAGCAAGTGAGCAAGGGGCAGAGAGGGAGGGAGGGGGAGAGAGAGAGAGAGAGAGAGAGAGAGAGAGAGAGAGAGAGAGAGAGAGAGAGAAGCGGGACTCAACCAAGGTGGGGCTTGAGCTCATTTGATGTGAGACTTGAACTCACAAACTGTGAGATCATGACCTGAGTTGAAGTCAGATGCTTAAGAACTGAACCACTCAGGAGCCCAAAACTTAGAAATGTTTAAGCACACTGGACACTAAATATGCTCTTGCCACCTGTACAGAACATCGGCAGGTGGGATCTAGAATGACCATCTTAGTAACCGCAACCCTAACCTGCATCCCCTCCCTCCTAGGAGGAGTTCGTCCTTCCTTCCTTATTGGAAAAGCTCTGAACAAATTCAGGAAGAGCCTGGTTCCTGACCTTGCTTGCCCTGGGAATCTACTGTGTCTTCCAGCATTGATCCAGTCTGGGGTTCGGTCTAGGGTGCCTGGTTTCAGGGGTGCCTTTTGATTCTGTCCTAGCAATAAGCTTTATCTCCATTCCTAAGAGCCAGGCCACCACCAGGTCTGGAGGAGCAGCTGTGGTGGCGGCCTGGGATGGGATCAGAAACGAAAGCCTTCTTTCATTTTTAGAAGGAAAAAAACCAACCCAAGCAGTTTTAGATAAAGTAGGGGTTTGAACATTTTTTAGGCTGAAGGGTTCAGTGGCATATTTGCAAGAATATTATAATTTTTAAGATTTTCATAAATAGAGGACTGATTAAGTATACTACATAGATCCACACAGTGGAACACTAGGCAGTTAATTAAAATGAAAATTGAGTCATTAAAAAAACTGGTTAAAAGACTCTACATAAAAATATATGGATATATACAAACATAGATGGTATCTATGTGCACTGAAAACAGGGATATATATTAAGATGTTACTAATGGTTATCATTGAGTGTTGAGATTGTGGATGATTTTTCTCTTTATGTTTCTTTATGTTTTAAATTTTATTCAACT